ACAGTCATACATTGCTGGTGGCACTGCAAATTGGTGAAACCAATCTGAAAAGCCGTATGGAGTTCCTTAGAAAACCTGGAATGGAACCTCCATTTGACCAAGCTATCCCACTCCTTGGTCTATACCCAAAGGACTTAAATCAGCATACTACAGTGACACAGCCACATCAATGTTCATAGCAGCTCAACTCACAATAGCTAAACTGTGGAATCAACCTAGATGCCCTTCAACAGATGAATGGATAAAGAAACTGTGGTAGATATACTCAATGGAATATTACTCAGCATTAAAAGAGAATAACTATGGCATTTGCAGGTAAATGGATGGAGTTGTAGAATATTAAGCTAAGTGAAGTAAGCCAGTTCCAAAAAAACAAAGGCCAAATGTTCTTTCTGATAAGTAGAAGCTGATCCATAATGTGTAGGGCATGGGGAGAATGGAGGAACTTTGGATTGGGCAGAGGAGAGTAAGGGGAGCAGAGAGGTTATGGGGCCAAGAAAGATGGTGGAATGAGGTGGACATCATTATCCTAGGTACATATATAACTGCACATATGGTGGATGCAACATTGTATACAACCAGAGAAATAAAAGTTTTGCTTCATTTGTGTACAATGAATTGAAATGAACTCTGCTGTCATGTATAACTAATTAGAACAAATAAAAAAAATTTTAATAAAAAAGGGTCACAGATGTCATTTGAGAAGAAAAAGCAGCCTAGGAGATTAGTTTTACTTATACCACAATGTTTGTCAAATTAGCAAATTGTCCCCAGAGAAGCAGAGAGGCCTGATGGGTAGGTAAATGTTTTTGTGGTTGGAGTTGGTAGTTTATTGCACAAATTTAAAGATCAACTTTATTGAGGTATAATTTACATACACTATTCATGGGTTACTCTACCACTGCTATATCCTAGCCCTTTTTAATTTTATATTTTGAGACAGGGTCTTGCTAAGTTGCCAGGCTAACCTTGAACTCAGCCTCCCCAGTGGCTAGGTTTACTGAGTTTTTACCTGATGTATAGGTGATTTGATTTGGGGTGGAGAGCATTAAGGTTACCTGGAATTATGCAGGTCCAGGGATTTAACAGATTCTTGTTAGGAAAAAGGACAACATCATGGCTCTTGGGACACCAAATAGGGACAACTGGAGGGCTAGCCTGAGATTGATCCTGGTGTCTCACTGCACCAGAATCTGCATCTCCAAAATGCCTGGCAACTTCAAGGCACTTCCGGAAGGAATGAGCCAGTTGACCTGACCCCTCTCAAGTGTGTTTAGGCCAAGAGGTGACCCAGGGACTGAATTCAGGCTCTCCTTTGCCTTGCAACTCTCCTGCCACTACCCACGCCCCACATCCCCGCCCACCGATGCGGCGCTCCAGCCTATGACAGCCAGGCTTCATCGCTATCACTACTCCCATTGGGCCTTATAGCTTCTCTGGCCTGCAGTAGAAAGTGGCTTCGGATCTGCCACAGCAGGCTGGAAAAAGCAAAAGCGCCGCACCAGTTCCCACTTCGGCTCCTGGGTTTCTGACGCTCTTGACGTGAGAAGCAGCAATGGTTGAACCCGCCTACCAACCAAGCTATCTTTCCCGCTCTATGGCTGAAAGCCTCAAGGGGTTGCAAGTTCAGTTTTCACTTAAGAGACCGCAACTCTGAGTTCAGGGTGGCTGGAGAAATTGAGAATTCTGGATGAGAGGTCAGACCGCATCTGGCCGCAGACTCTCCCCAGAACTGACTAGCCTTTCTGAAAGCTCCAGTAAGGCCTAGATCAATATAAGAGGAAACCATGGGGATTGGGGTCCCCAGGAGATCAAGGCACCGCCCTCTCGGCTGGGCGGGGTTCTGGCGGAAGGCGGGGCAGACCTGAGCTACCTGGCGTGCCCGCCTAGCCCTGCACAACGGAGGTGGCAGTGGTAGCTCTCGCTTGTGGACCTCGTTCTACTTGGGCTCGACCTCGCCTCCATGGAGGGACCTCAGGAGCATTTGAATGGGAAGCTTCGGCTTTGCTTCTCCCCTGCTGCCCGGACCAGCCTTTTACTGCTCAGGCTCAACGACGCTGCGCTGCGGGCACTGCAAGAGTGTCAGCGGCAACAGGTAAGGCCGGCTCCTGGCTCCTTCTTCCGTACCCCTACCTTCGGGACTTCAGGTCTCAATCGGCCACACTGGAGCAGGGACTTGGGGAAGGGGAGCAGTTTTCCGCAAGCTCCATGCTCCCCACCTCTCCAAGTGAAACCGCAGCCTTACCTTCGCTCAGCTCGCGTCTGTGCTCTCCCGGCAGGTACGGCCAGTGATTGCTTTCCAAGGCCACCGAGGGGTAAGTGCGGGCCCAGGGTGTGTGAGTGAGGTCGGGATGAGGGGGCACAAAAGTGGGCTTCAATAAGGTGCGGTCAGGGCAGGAGGCTGAGAATGGTCACGGTCTGAGGAAGTTCGGAGAACTGAACCCTAAGTGGAAACAAGGGGGCTGCTGGGTTTGTGGTCCCAGGAGGCTGCGGCTGGGGACACTGTGCCTTCTCAGTATCTTGGGGAACTCAGGCTCAGCTGCACCTGGCGTGCTAACGAGCCCCGTGGGACCCATCTTCAGTCTTAGGCTGGCTCCGGGAGGAGTGGCGTGGGCGGGAGGGGAGGGGTTGACTTCATGGAGCTTATTCTTTTTTCCACCCCAGTATCTGAGACTCCCAGGCCCTGGTTGGTCCTGCCTCTTCTCTTTCATAGTGTCCCAGTGTGGCCAGGAGGGCGCTGGCGGTGGCTTGGACCTTGTGTGCCAACGTTTAGGCAGGTAAGGCTGCAGGTAAGAATTTGCAGGAAGTAGGGAAGGGAATGCGAAAAGGTGCTTAAAAACTCTCCACCTTGTTGTTTTTTCTCACCACTTCTTTTCAGATCTGGGCTTAACTGCCTCCACTGCCTGGGCCCACTCAGGGAGCGCCTCACTATTTGGGCAGCTATGGATTCCATCGCAGCCCCATCAATGGTTCAGGAACACAACCTAACTGAAGATGCCAGAGATCCTGAGAACTGGCAGAATAAGGGAGACTATTTTGAAGGAGATGTAGTGTCACAGACACAGGTGGCACTAGAAGAGGTGAGGTTAGAAAACTGAAGGGATTTGTGATAAGGTGGGGCAAAGCCTGAAGCTGAGGGAGTCAAGTGCTCCTGCCACTTTCCCTGCCAGGTGTCAGATCCACTGGCAAGCAATCAAGGACAGTCAATGCCAGGATCCTCAAGGGAGCACATGGCACAGTGGGAAGTGAGGTACCTGGCACAGGGTGGGACTAACATGGGAAGCCCTGGTCTAATCTCCACCCTTAAATGCTGTAAAAGATCTGGACCCAGGTCCTACCTTGGTCTTCATCTCTCGCATTCTCTCTTCAAATATCTTAGGAAGCAGACCCACCTTCCAAACAGAGAGTTGGATCAGGCATTGCCTTCCTTCACCAGCCGGAAACATCAGCACAAGGTAACGTGTAATGGCAAGGACTTTTCAGAAACCACTGAAATTTTTAAATTGAGAAGCCAAAATAGGAATCTCCTGGTTTGCTGTATGTTTTCTCCACAGAAACGTCCAGCGTCAGAAGCTACTGAAGAATTAGAAGAAAAGAGGCTCAGAGCTCTGCCTCTAGCTTCAGGTCCCCTACAAGAGCTGTCCAGTCAGGACTTACAAGAGGAAGAAGATTGGGAACAAGAAGATAAAGAAGACATAGACCCTAGGTTGGAGCACAGTCCCTTAGTTCAAGCAGGTGAATTAATGAGAGGAGGGTAAAAATGCCACAGTGGAAAAAAGATCTATAGTCACTTTTGTGTTTTCTTGCTTCCTTCTCAGACTCTGAATCCCCAAGCCCTGAAGAGGTGCCAGATTATCTCCTGTGAGTAATTTCCAATTTCATCAAGCCTATACATATAAGCTCCCTGGAAGTCAGGAGCTTTTGAATGAAATTGAAGGTGATAACTCTCCTGACAGGCAATACAGGGCCATCCAAAGTACAGAGCAGCAACAGGCCTATGAGCAGGACTTTGAGAGAGATTATGCTGAATACCGCATCCTCCATGCCCGTGTTGGGGCCGCAAGCCAAAGATTCATAGAGCTGGGAGCAGAGATCAAGAGAGTTCAGCAAGGAACTCCAGAACACAAAGTAAGGACTGGACCCAGGCTGGCTTTCCAGCCTTAATGGCCGTTACCTATTGCTAATCACCCATAAGCCTGTTTGTTCAGTGACTAAGAAAAGTGACAGGCAAACCTGTTTTGGCAGAAAAATTAGTCTATATCATTTGGTGGAATGAGAAGGGAGGTTACTTTCCTGATTTTATTTTTCTTCCTTTTAATGTTGAACTCAGTGATAGTATTTTCTGTTTCAGGTGCTGGAAGATAAGATTGTCCAGGAGTATAAAAAGTTCAGAAAGGTAAGACAAGTTCTGAGAACAAAAGCAAGAAGGTAGAACTGTTTTTAGTTTTTGACAAGAATGCTTTTTCTCTGCAGCGGTACCCAGGTTATAGAGACGAGAAGCATCGCTGTGAGTACCTGCATCAGAAATTGTCCCACATTAAAGGTCTCATCCTGGAGTTTGAGGAAAAGAACAGGGGCAGCTGAAGCTGTCAAGCAGGCTTCTTGACCCTCTGTCCAGTGATATGAACAAAGCAGCTATAAACTAGTGTGTAACTATCTGCTTTTCTTTTGCTGACCAGTTGAGGCCATGGTGGCAAGTAGAGAGCTGCTGTTCTAGGTTCTTGAGGATTTTTATTGTTGTCATATTTGAAATTTTTAGGTTGTGGGGCCACTGCTAAGACCCCCTCAGCTGTGCCCAGGAGACTAGAAAAGTAGCAGAAACTTTGAAGATATTAGACAAACTCAATAAGTAAATCTAGCCTCATAGTTCCCCAAAGGAAAGAACAAGTTTTGGTAACAGCTAAGGAAACTTATAGCACCCCTGGATATAATGGGAAAGGGCTTGGGTATTACCCATGTACTGAAAGTAAATTCTTTTATAAACATGATTAAAATCTTGCTTCTGTGTTTTTGTACAAGTTTTATTTATTTATTTTTTTGTTTTAGTTGCAGTTGGACACAATACTTTTTTTTTAAAATGTGGTGCTGAGGATCAAAACCAGCACCCTGCACGTGCTAGGCAAGCACTTTACTGCTAAGCCACAACCCCAGCCCCTGTACAAGTTTTTATATTTTCCTTAAATCCTCCAAAGCAGTGATTTTTACCCTTTACATCTAACTGCTTCAGGCGCTCTCTAAACAATTAGATCCCCAGCCCCTGGCTCAGATGTTATGAATTAAAATCTCTTAAGATTATGGTTTAGATGTGTCTTTTTTTAAATTATCCTTTGCATTGATAAGGATTGAACCCAGGCCGCACCAAATGTTCTACCACTGAGCTATATCCCCAACCGCAATATCTTTACTATGCATGATCCATGTGTATTTTGCTGTAAGGCTTTACCAAATCCATCTTATAGTTGAACTAGAGATTACAGTAAGAAAGTTCTCCTTTTGTGAACACAGGGGTTTATAGGATCACTTACAGTCACAAGAGTGATATTGCTTTCCCTAGTTCCACTGGAGAGTGAAGTTAATGGACCACACCCAATAGTGTCAGCAATTCCTGAAACAACTTGGATGCAACTCCAACCTGGTGCCACACCCATGCAGGGCATTTCTGGGCAAAGAACAGTCTTTGGGAGGTATAAACATGCAGAAAGCTTAGCATTAACGCATCCTTAGGGCACGGACTGGGCCAGAAACAGCCCAACAGGAAAGACCCTTTACCTTTTCTAATCAACTCATTTTCAAATTGAGAAATTACATATAACAACCAGGCAATAAACATGTAGGAATAGAGAAATTCAGAGTGATTTAGAGTTGAGAACTTTGGACCCAATCAATTATTCTATAGCTATAGCAATTAGTGTATAGCCACTGTGATGGCTTTTTTGTTTTGTTTTGTTTAAGGTACTGGGGATTGAACCCAGGGGTCTCTACCACTAAGCTTCATCCTCATCCCTTTTTATTTATTTATCTTAAGACAAGGTCTCATTAGGTTGCCCAAACTGGAATTGAACTTGCAATCTTCCTGAGTTGCCAGGATTATAGGCATGTGCCACCATGTCTGGCAATGCCACTATGTGGCTAAGTGAATTAAAATTAAAAAGGTAGTTCCTAGCCACATTTCAAATGCTCCATAGCTACATGTATTGGACAATGAAGATTACAAAATGTTACCATCACTGGGGAAAGCTTTACTGGATAGTAACAGTCTAAAGAAACTTGATTCTTCATTCCATGGGAAAAACAACACTTTAAAGGGGGCTCATTTATTGTCACTGTTCCAAATGTACAAAAAAAATTAGAAAATAACCCCCCAACTCAAATCCCCCCACCCCCATAACATTCTTCCCAACACAAATAATTTTTCCCAAAACCAAACACAAACTGGTCCTGGTATTTCCATAAACAGTGCAGCTAAGAAACAGTTTAGAGAAAATTTAACAGGATTCAGATTATATCCATCCTGTCCTCTCAGCCCCGAGAGGTTATAATCCCATATGGATCCCAGTCCTCCCCAATGGTTTTCCCATCTCTCTGGTAGAAGAGTCCTTTTACAAAGTGGTATATTTGGCTGCTGCTTTAGAGATCTTCCTGTGCCTTCTTCTTCTTCTTGGGTTTTTCTTCTTGAATTATAGGGGGATTTGTAGCTTCTCGCTGTAGATAGCTAATAAAATCATTTAATTCACGGCCACCCTAAAAACAGAAAGATTACTCTGAAAATTTAACTTCTTAAAGAATTCTGGATTCTTATATGTATTGTCATGAATGTTGAAAGAATTACCAGTTAAAAATATCCAATTAAAGAACTGGATATGCACGTGTGTGTGTGTGTATGAGGGGAGGGTGGGACAATGCACTTACTTCATATTTCTTTGGACTTAGCTTCTTGCTGGCTGGAGAGAAGTAGATAGTAGGAAAACTGGGGAAAGAACACAGAAGAGTTTAGCAATTTCTGGTTCTCAAGTTAATTCTATAATTCTTCAAGTTTCTGGGAATCACTTCTCTTTATGGTTTCAAATATATATATATATATTTTAAAAAATACCTTTATTTATTTTTATGTGGTACTGAGGATTGAACCCAGTGCCTCACACATGCTAGGCTGAACTCAACTCCAGCCCCTAAATTACATCTTGACTAAACCCAGAACTCACAAAATTTCTGACGGTGGGCCCACACTACAGATCACTAAGCTAAGAAGGAACAGGTATCCCAGATGCTTGGGAGGCTGAAGCAGGAGGATCACAAGTTCAGAGCAAGCCCCAGCAACTTAGAAAGACCCTGTCTCTTGTGTTATTTTTAAACTTTTTAGTCTACTTACCCTCTGACTTCATATGGAGAAGGCACATCATTGGCTGTGGCATCCATCTTGGCTATGACAATATTTGGGTCTTTGCTGAGCTGTTAATAAAAAGGTTAAACCTTAATTTTTTTTATTTTTTCAGTGCTGGGGATCAAACCTAAGCCTTCCTACATGCTAGGTAGGAGCTCTACCACTGAGCTACACCCTTAGCCTAGAAAAGGTTGGACCTTTAAGTTTCAAGTTTTCAGTGACTGAGGCACATTTCATCAATTCAGGATTTAAAACAATCTCAGTCTTCAAGCACCTGGACAAATTGCTGCTCAGACGGGAAGAGTGGTGATGCTTACAGATAGTACTCAATCTTCCAGCTTTCCTTTCTTCTTTTGGGTTCTACATATTAAGACCACATAAAGCTGGGCTTAGTGGTACACAGCTATAATGCCAGCCTCCTGGGAGGCTGAGTCAGGAAGAGCACAAGTTCAAGGTGAGCCTGGGCAACATAGTGAGGCCCATCTAAAAAAGAAAGCCCCACACATATACAGACACCTTTAAATTTACTTGGCCTGAATAAGTCATCATAACAAGGGCTGATCCAAGCATTTTAAAATAAAGCAACATATGGGTTCATATAAGCCATTATAAAAATTCAGAAGCACCTACATATTTTTATCTATAATCTAGGTTGAGTCTGAAGAGTGGAAGATTAAAGTAGATCTCTGAAGCACTACACAGACTATACACACTAGGGGGCAGTCAAGAGAAAGTGAGTTAAAGGGAGTGGGGGCAAACTCTACCAGTACTTAGGAATATTTACATCAATTTTCCACTCTAATTCTAATCTTCAGAATAGGATTCAGACTTACCTTCTCTCCAAGTTCTTTATACTTGGGTTCCAGATTTTTACAGTGACCACACCAAGGGGCATAAAATTCAATCAGCACATCTTTATTTTCATTATTCACTATTTCATCAAAATTCTCTGCTACTACTACCTGGAAAACACACAGAAGATTCTCTAGTTGTATGGTGAAGTGAAGAATAAATACAAAAGGTTTATGTGTTTCTGGACCCAACTCCTCTCAAATATGGATTCAATAGCACTGAAAATCAGTCATGGAAACCAAATCTCATTTACAGGCTATATTGAAGGTTATCTCCATTTCCCATTAACCAACTCATTCTCATGTCTATCACCTGTCCAACTATGTTCAAGAAGCCAAAGGAAATATAATTACTACCTAACCATTCCTTAAAATAATTTCAATGCTACAAAACTATTCCTAAGGATTATCTTGATCTATCTCAAAGAGTAACCAAGCCCAGATACAAATTCCATCAGAAAAATTCTATGGTTTTAAACTTCTGTCCCTAATTAATGTTATGAGCTCTGCCAGTATTTGTTTTTGACTTAGGGAGGTGAGGACAAAAACAAAAATATATCCAGCAAGGTCTCTGTTCAGACTCAGCATTTTTAGAATAAAGAAATGAGGAGGCGACTGCTAATAGGAATGGTGAGGTTGTGAGTAGTGCACCTTTACAGGCCCATCATTGCTCTCTGGGATAGGCTCAGACTTCAGATATCTCTTCAGGTTGCCATCAAAGTAATCTTGAAGAAACCTCTCTAGAGCCTTGCCATCTCGCCTGAAATTAGAAAGACAGGGTCATGTTTGTTAACTCCCATCACAAGATTAAAAGCAATTTCTCTGAATAGTTTTTACATATTTTAGCTTCAGTTTCACAGCTAAAATAAAGGAAAGGACTCTACTTCTCAACATGTGGAATTAGACTGAATAAGAAAGAAATCAACTCATTTTATTTAATTTCCAATGTGTTCTCTGTGGATGAGGAATTTCAAAAGGAAGAAGTACTCTCTTTTTTTTTTTTAGAGAGAGAGTGAGAGGGAGAGAGAGAATTTTAATATTTATTTTTTAGTTTTCGGCGGACATAACATCTTTGTTTGTATGTGGTGCTGAGGATCAAACCCGGGCCGCACGCATGCCAGGCGAGCACGCTACCGCTTGAGCCACATCCCCAGCCCCGTACTGTCTCTTTTATAAGAGACTGAGATCTGATTTTGTTGCTGTTGAGAACAGTGCCATTACATATCTTGTAATATAAGTTGACTCAAAAGAAAGATTTTTCTCTTCTGTTAATCCTTCAAAGTGTCAAAAGTGAAGGTAAAAACTGGCCAGGCATGGTGGTGCACACCTGTAATCCCAGCATCTGTGGATGCTGAGACAGGAGAACCACAAGTTCAAAGCCAGCCTCACCCTGTCTCTAAAGGTAAAAATTGGTCTGAGGTATTAAGATCTTTTCAATTTCCCTGTTTACTTTAGGCTCATGTTGTATTCCTAGAAGAAAACACATTCTGCTAGAGCTGAAAGGGGGATGACTTGAAGTTATATCAATCTCAAAGAGGTTCTCCAATTTTCTTTATTTACTACTTCTAGAGAAGTACAATCATATATAAATTCCAACCTGTCATCCTTTTGTTAGTTTTCAGAAATCATTTAGAATCATGATCCTTAAAGTAACTATAAGTGAAAATTGACAGTCATAGGTCTTCACTAGAAGACCTATCTTTTACATCCCAATGTTGTGCTTTACAAATTCTTGGTAGTATAAAAGGCTCTAACAATTTCCTTACAGAATCAAATCCTGAATCTATGCTGACTAGCAACTCACGAGAATTCCTCCTGCATGACAAACTTCTCCCCTTTCGCAGTTCTGATAGCAACAACAGGAACTTCTCCAGTAGTGCTCTCCAAGCCAAAATCAGACAATTCATGGCTAAAGGTTTTACGGCTAGCTACAGCACAGTTGAGTTTGTGTCCAGCATCCAGGAATTTCTTTGCCACCATCATTACTCTGTGAGAAACAAGAGATATTTTTGCTAAGATTATGCTAGGTAAAGCATTTTTGAGGTTAGAAAGCAAAGACCAGGTTCTATATAGTCTAGGCAACCCCCTGAAATTAACCTGAACTTGTGTTCCTATGCAGTAACACAGGATTATGTTATACTTCAATGTCTTAAAACTGAACTTCACTGCCAAATTGGTGGTACCCCACCAACTGGTCCATTCTCACTCAATCTTACTTCATTATATAACTGTAAAATCTATTGCAAGCCTAATGACTGATTTGAAAAGAAAATTTCTAAGGGTAAAATGCACCAAGAATAGTAGTGGTGTTTTAATTAAGTGCATTTTACATCAAATTTACACCTTTTACTTTATAAAGTTTAGAGTCACAGCATCACAAAGTAAAGGAACACCTATGGAAGACATGCTCAACAATTTTGGAAATGGTTTATGTTATCTGTTCTTATGGCTTCACATATAGTTTTTGGACCTAAATGTTCCAATTCTTATCTGCTCTTAGATCACATGGTAATAAGACAATTAGAAGGAATTGCTAATACATTGGATAAACTTGTTTACAAAGGGATAAACATGATTCTTATTACCTGTTCCTCCAGTAGTTAGAACCTTTAGCATTCTTTTCATAGTCCACATCATAGTAAGCCATAAGTAAGTCCTTGCCTTGTATCAAATCTTTATTATCTTCTGTCATATGAGGACAAATACCAAAACTGAAATAAAATAATTAAAAACATTGACAATTCATAGCTATACTATAAAATTATCACAAAATAATTACATCATTTATAAAGGAAGGTCATTTTCAACATCAGGACAATACTGAGCAATATACTGTATAGGACCACAATAAAAGTTCTAGGACCTACAGATGATCACATTACTATATACTTGAACTATTATATATTATAGTTCCTTGAGTAGGCTATTTAAGCCAAACAAGGCTCTGCTTAATAACTGGAGTAAACAACTAATGTGAAGCAAAGAAATTTCAGACAAGGTATAAAGAGGTACTCACATGTTTTCCTGGATAAACTTCTTAATCTTGCTGCTAGTCAATTTCTGATCTGTATATGCCACACTTTTGTCCTCAAACTTGTTAGTAAGATGTGGAGGACGAAATAAGGTGATGCCCCTTAAAAACAAATAAACACCTTATACAATAAGCAGCAGTAGACCTGTCTTCTAACTTTCATTTAAAGTTCAGACTATCTACTTTCACTAAAGACAAAATAATTCTTTTCGGAACTGGGCATAGTGGTGCACATCTGTAATCATAGCAACTTGGAGGAGGCTGAGGCAGGACTGCAGATTCAAAGCCAGCTCTAACAACTTAGCGAGGCCCTAAGCAAACTTAGAAAGACCCTGCCTCAAAATAAAAAGGTTTGGAGTTACAGCTCAGTGGTTATTCTGAGATCAATCCCTAGTACCAAGAAAAACAAACAAAACCCCCTCTTTTCTGAGACCACAGACTTGGCAACATGACCTTCTCATCAATATAGAGATGACTAATTTCCTTGATCCTGAGTGTAATAATTGTGTATAAGGGTTAATAAACCTTGGATTGGAAAATTAGAGGACTTTGGTTCTAATATTAGCTCAACCACTAATTTCAATGACCTTGGACCAAAGAGTCAATTTAATCTACTTTTAGTTTTTTTTTTTTTTTTTTTAATCAGCTCAAAAGGGAGTCAGAATGGATAATTGATTTCCAAATGTTGAAAAACAGAAAGAGAACCCAGTTTATCTCAAAGCCCAATATGTACAATAGCATAATGCAGAACTTGCTCCTACTGGAAACTAACCTTTCACCTTGTAAGAAAAGACTTCATTAAATACCTTTAAGAGTCCTTCCAGTTAAATCAGATTTAGAAAATTTTCTTTTCTTTGGTACCCAGGATTGAACCCAGGGGCACTTAAACATGAGCTACATCCCTAGCTCTTTTTATTTTGGGACAGGGTGTTGTTAAATTGTTGAGGCTGGCTTTAAACTTGCAATGTTTCTGTCTCAGCCTCCCAAGCAAAAATTTTCTCTCTTGTCGGTATCACATATTCAGCCAAGGTTTCCTGAATCCATTGTGACACCTGAGAAAACATGACTACCTTAATTACTGACATCCGGCCTCTAGTTTCTTGTTTATTCCTCCTCCCCACACCACATACACCTTCATACAATTTCATCACTTGTTTTTGGCTACATCTTGGCATCTGTAAATCCTTATACTCTTTTCTCATTCTTCCAAAATATATACTTTTTTCTTTTTGTGGTGCTCAGAATCAAATCCAGGGTCTCACAGTGTGCTAGGCAAGTGCTCGACCATTGAAATATATCCCAACCCACTTGTTCCTCCAATATTAATCATTACCTAATTTTATGTCAATTAAAACACAGGTATTTTCACAGGACACAGGAAAACTACACGGCAAACAAGAACCTAATACAAACAATGCTGAGCAAAACTGTGAACAGGGATTTTCTTTTTTTTTTTTAAAGCATGGCTATCATTTTCAGAGTACTTATTCTCAAAAACAAGCAATTCTAAACAAGATGATGTTATAGTCTTGTCACATACATGGGGAACTCAAGACGCTTTTGCTATAAGGTCTTAGTAAAACCTCTGATGTGAGGCTATTAGACAAGTTTAGATGGCAAGTCAGAGAAACAGCCACAATTAGCAAATCAAAAGTTAACAGGCTGACCTGTGTGCGCTAGCTGATAAGCTACAAGTAGCTCGCCAAGCATGTATATACCTGGTGTCTCTTTAGTGAAGAGGTAGTAAAGACTAGTGATCAAACCTACCTATCTGTAACCAGACTTTCTTATTCAAATTTAGTTCTGCCTCTTAGTAACTGTGAGAATCTAGGCAAATTACTTATTTGTGTGCTTTCTATTCTATAAGTTAACATTAGCCCTTGACACACCTTTTACTTTATATGCCCACTGAGTGATCTATCTATTGCCATGGTTATAATCATTTAACATGTGATTGACCAACAGATTTTTATCTCTACTCAAAAACTTTTCTGAAGGAATGGGAATATAGCTCAGTGACAGAGTGCTTGCCTAGCCATTTACAGAGCCCTGGGTTCAATCACCAGCATAGGGGTGAGGGACACTTTTCTTGGATTCTACTCCTGCCCCCCTTTCCACCAGGGATTGAACCCAGTGAACTTAACCACTGAGCTACATGCCCAGCCCTTTTTATTTTGAGACAAAGCCTAAGTTGCTTAGGGCCTTGCTAAATTGAGGCTGGCTTTGAACCTGTTATTCTCCTGTCTAAGCCTCCAGAGTCTGAGATTATGGGCATGAGCCTCCATGCCCAGCTTGTTTACATTTTTTTATACTATCTCTTTCTTTCCATTGCCACTAATACTGTCTCGGTTTAGATTCTCAGATGTCATTCTCAGTTTAGATTCTCCTTGTTTTGCCCTATTCCTCCCCTTTCAAGCCACTACTATGTGGGTCCCAGTAACTTCTTTACTTAAACAAAAAATTAACCACATTACTTCCCAACTCAAAACCCTTTCAATGGTTCTCAGATATCTAAAAGATAAAAATCTAAACTCTTCTGTATAGCATTTAAGGTCCATAATTTGCTCTCGGTTAACCTCTCCAACTTTATGTTTCACTATGATCTGGTTCACAAACAATAGCTTGTAATCCTGCAGGTTCCAACATGCTGAGGTCATCTCATATCCCTGCTGCTACTAAAAAAAAAAAAAAAAAAAAAAGAATAATTTTCATCCCAACCACCATAACCTGCTTTGAAAATCTCATCCTTCAAGAGTCACCTCCTTTGGGCTGGGTTGTGGCTCAATGGCAGAGCACTTGCCTAGCATATGTGAGGCACTGGGTTTGATTCTCAGCACCACATATAAACAAACAAAATAAAGGTCCACCTACAACTAAAAAAAATATATAAAACAGTCACCTCCTCTAAGAAGCTTTTCCTGATACCATTCCCCTCCTCTGTACTCCCAACATACTCTGTAGACATTTTCTATCCTAACACATATAACACTCACACTTTCTTTTTGTGTGTATGGTGCTGAGAACTGAACCTTGCACCCATTAGGCAAGCATTCTACCACTAAGCTACATCCCCATCCATACACTTACATATATATATATATTTGTTTATAGAGTCTTCAGATGCCTTTTAGGAGCAATAAGTTTCTAGCATTTAGCTTAATGCCTAGCAAGTGCTTAACAAAACTTCTGGAAACAGACATCACTAGTTACTAAGGCGTTCAACTCAGTCACTTACTCTCCATTATCATCATACTCCTTCACCAGAGATTCAACATTGGTGTGTGCAAATCGGTAGTTATCCCTCAAGTTGTTGGCTGCTTTTAGGAACTCAGAGTGCGCTTCACTGAATAAATCCTTGAAAAAACCTACATATAAAATGTCAAACAGAAAAAAAAAAAAAAAAAAAAAACAGTTAAGTGCTGAGAGATGTTCAAGACTTTTATTTATTTGCTTGTTTATTCATTTTTGTGGTGTTGGGGACTGAAGCCAAAGGCCTGGCACACTCTAGGCAAGTGCTCTACCACTGCACATGCCCAGCCCAAGACTGAAATTCCAATTTTCAAAGCATTCATTCTACTACAGATAAGCAAAGTGAAAAGAACCGGGTCTGGGGCTGGAGTTGTGGCTTAATGGTACAGCACCTGCCTAGCATGTGTGAGGCCCTGGGTTTGATTCCTATCACTGCATATAAATAAATGAATAAAATAAAGGTCCACCAACATCTAAAAAAAATATTAAAAAAAAAAAGAACCAGGTCTGCTTTGTGATGGATATATGATACAATATTCAGCATGAGAATTCTTCCCCCACCCTATAAAGAAACATTTTTGAGAGCCCAGGGAAAGGATTTGTCAGGGTCCAAGTCTTCATTCTACTTTTCCAAATTGAATAAATCTGAGCAAATTGCTTAATTTTTCTGGAACAATATCAGGTATCAGAAGGATTAGATTAGAAAATGATGTCAAAATAAAACACTTATTTTTCCTTTCTATGTCTTGCCTTTAAAACTTAAGTCTAGAAAAGTGATTGAATGTATCATATGTCATATTTAAAAATAAGAGCAAGACCAGTCACTCTTTTCTCTTTGGCTTCCTGTGCACCATGAGATCTTTCTAAAATGGCCATGAACATATATGACAAATCCTAGTAATCTGCATCTTAAAAATTTAACTCCCCTATTATTGTGAAAATAGCATACATGAGTTATTTATTTCCCCTTTCCTTAAAACCTTATTTTCAGTCATACCTACCTACATAAGAGTTAAATCTCAGAGTTTAAAGAAGTGTGATGCTAAGCACCTTGTAATACCAGCTACTCTTGATTGGGGACTGAGACAGTATTGGGGTTTCAGGGCAGAATGGGCAACATAGTAAGAACTGTAATCCCTGCCACCTCTCAAAAAGCCAGTCAAAACAGCTTTTTCTCCCATATTATGGTAATGATACAATTCTATCAGCTATTCATCTTTTCAGCTGCCCCTACATTTCCTCCCCTGTTCTAACCTGTAAAGGAGACTGAACCCAGGGGTACTCCATCACTGTCCTACATTCCCAATCCTTTATATCTGGCAACAAGATTTTGCTACATTGCTAAGGCTGGCCTCAAACTTGTGATCCTCCTGCCTCAGTCTCCCAAGTAGCTAGGACCAAGTTGATGATTTTGTGGCATAATTAAATATTTGCTACTTACCCACCACAGAGGCATCTTTATCACTAATGAACTTCTTAAATTCTTCCTCAGTCCTAAGAGGCACTGAAGCGGGTCCTGCCTGCTTCTTCAGGTGGCTGACAATTCCATCTTAGAAGATGAAAGTTATAGAAATACAATTTATTTGTAATTTTTGAGAAGGCAATTATTTATTCATACAATTCAAAATGTATAAAAGGGGGACACAATGGAGTTTTTTTTTCCCCACCCTTGTCCCTAGTCACCCAGTTTCTTCCATAACCTTCTAAATTTTCTTTTTTTTTTAATGAGAAAACAGAAGCACAGGGAATGTGTTGTATATGGTGGTGATCAGAGCATCACTCACTTGCCAAAACTCAGTGGACGAAGCACTTTTTTATATTTTTTCAGCGGACACAACATCTTTGTTTTGTATGTGGTGCTGAGGATCGAACCCAGGCCGCACACATGCCAGGCGAGCGCGCTACCGCTTGAGCCACATCCCCAGCCCTGCACTTTATTTTTTAAATCAATCTGTCTATCTATTTTTGTGGTGTTGGGGATCAAATTCAGACATGCTAGGCAAGTGCTGTCCTCTGAGTTATATCCTCAGCCCCTTTCAAGCATCTTATGCATAAATAAGCAATTACACATTTATTCTTTTTTCTCTCAAAATGGCAACATATACATAAGCTATTCTTTATTTTTTTGGTTTGTATGTAACACAGTTTAGACATAATTGACATCAATACATAAAGAGCTACCTCAACCTTTTATTAGTTACATTGTGTTTCACAGAATGGATGTACTATAACTTATTTAACCTGCTACAAATAATGGAAATTTGTTTCCAATCTCATGCTATTACACAGGATTCTGTGATAAACAACCTTGTAGAGGCTGGGCGTGGTGGTGCACACCTGTAAATCCAGCAGCTCTGAAGGCTGAGGCACTAAGCAACTCACTGAGACCCTGTCTCTCTAAAGAAAATACAAAATAGGGCTGGAGATATGGTTCGGTGGTTGAGTGCCCCTGAGTTCAATTCCCAGTACAAAAAAAAAGACTATATTTGCAGGGCAAATTCCTGTAAGTGGATTAACTGGGTTAAAGTGTGTAAGTATTTATAGTTGTTAAAATGCCCTCCAAAGAGATTCACGTATTATTTTTAACTTATACTATCAAGTAAATTCTAGTGCCTACCACATAAAACGAACAGACAAATCCATATTATCAAGCAATGCATAGTCACCTGTAACCTTACATTTTCAAAGCAAAAAATGCAGTGACTTGGCTAGCTATGTTGAAATCTAAATACATACATTAAAACATACACACAGGTTGTGTATATAGCTTAGTGTTAGAGCATCTGCCTTGCATGCCTGAGGCACTGGGTTTGACCCCGGCACACCCCCACCCCTGCACCCATACACCCCTAGTAGACAGATCCATACACCCACACACACCCTTAGCAGACAGACCAAAAGGTCATTATTCCACTTCCTCCTAGGGTCCACTGAAACCATTTACAAATACAAACATAGGCCAGATGTGCTACTCCTCCATGATATTCTATCTCTTTACCCCTTTCTTTTCTAAGTACTATCATGATTTCCAAACTAAGACAGTACCGTTTAACTCTTTCAACATGACTGAGCCTGTTCTGTACTTCTAAATTACTTTTTCCTTTCATCTTCTTCCATTTATAGATATTTCAAAAAAGTTTCCCTCAGGTTTTATCAATAGATTAGTTGAAATTGGATTGAATTATTTAGTCCTCAAGGTAGTTGCCATCAGTATATCAGAACATAAACTATAATAAACTGAACATCTAAAATTCTCTGGAAGGCAAAATGGGAGTGCTGAGTAATTAGTTTAAGCAGGAAGCAAAGAGCAAGGTTCTTAGAGGTGCACATGAACAAAACAATCCCTCTTGGCTAAAGACTTTATAAATAAGTAGTCAAACATCTGACCTCCTGGTTAGATGTGGAGACATTCTCCAGTTTAAGAACCCTATGTTAAAGCCCAAGTGAGAATATTTACCTAGCAGCATTGTGGCTGGATCCATCTACAGTTAAGACCTGACCAAGTTCTGAAAAAAATATATCAATAACTCTATTAGCCATACCTTTGATTAAACTGGTAAAAGCTGAATGTTAAAAATTTGAGTGTTGGGCTGGGGATATAGCTCAATTGGTAGAGTGCTTTCCTTGCATGCATAAGGCCCTGGTTTCAATCCCCAGCACCATGGAGAGGAAAAAAAAAAAAAAAGTGATTTCAGTTGGGCCAAAATACTTATTCAAGCATTCAGCAAAGAGTTATTAAGTGTCTGCTATATGTGAAGAGTCTATGTGCTGGGGACAGAACTGTAAACAAATCAAAGGTTCTGCTTTATTGGACCTGACAATATAGTAAGTTCCAAATAAATATGCAATTAAAAAAAAAATCAGATAGTAGTCAGGTGTGGTGGTGTAAATCTGTAATCCCAGAGACCTGAGATGACATTCTCAGTAATTTAGCAAGACATTGTCTAAAAAAAAAAAAAAAAAAAAAAAAAAAAGGAGCAGACCTGGGGATGTGGGGATGTAGCTCAGGGGTAAAAACACTCTTGGGTTCAATCTCCAGTGCCAAAAGTAAATTTAAAAAATCAGACAGTAACCAGTGCTATGCAGAGAATTAAGAGGTTGATGACCCCCCCTCACCTCTACTGAGGACTGAACTCAGGAGGCTCTCCACCACAGAGCCACACTTCCAGCTCTTTTTATTTTGAGACAAGGTCTCAATAATGTAACTGAGGCTGGCCTAGAACTTGTGATCCTTCTGACTCAGCTTTCCAAATTGCTGGGATTATAGACATGTGCTGTAAACATCTGGCCAGGGTCCATGTTTGTATATGAATGAAATTCCCTATCTCCTAAAATCCCCAAACTTCTTTCTTTAGCCTTTCATTATGAAAAAGTAAAATATACATACAATTATGTAATAAACTCAAGCTGAAATTGTATTTGATGATATAAGATTATTTTGTTCTCCTTAACTGTGAACTCTACAGAATTGAGCTCCCACTTAACCTCTCAAACTTCACCTCTCATCCTTGCTAATCACATTCTGACCACATGGTATTTCTAGGTCTTCAACCCAGCAATTTTAGTCATGTATTATATAGCCTCTTTGTACCTGCTTTCCCTGTGCTTAAAAAGCTCTGAGATCTTCTCATGGGTGGCTCCTTCCTATCAGGTTTCAGCTCAAAGGTTTCTTCCCTGACCACCCTATTATGCAGTTCTCCCATCCTCAATCACTATCACATAGTCTGGTTTTATTTTTTCCCTTTAATGCTCTCATCACTAATTCAATTTATTCCATCTACGCATATTCTTGACTTCTTAAACTGTTACATAACATACATAAAATTCACCACCTTAACCATTCTTAAGTATACAGTTTTATGGTGTTAGGTACATTCACACGGTTGTACAACCAGGTCTCACACATTCTAAGCAAGTATTCTACCAGTTAGCTATACTCCCTCTCTCATGTATATATATAGTTGTAGATGGACACAACATCTTTATTTTCTTTTTTAATTAATTAATCAATCAATTAACGTGGTGCTGAGGATCGAACCCAGTGCCCCACTTGCTAGGCAAGTACTTTACCACCAAACCACAACCCCGTCACCCCCAATATATATTTTTTTTAAATAATAATCTTAATGGGGTGTGAGACGAGATGGTCATTCATATACATTTTTAGAACTTGTTTATTGCTTTTTTCCCTTTATCACTCCCAGAATGTAAAGCACCACAAAAGTAGGGAGTTTGTTTGTTTTGTTTACAAATACCAAGTACCTAGTACATATAGAATATCTGACATCAAGTAGGTACCCAATAAATATGTATCAAATGAAAAAAGGCCTAGCTGACCTTATATCTCAAGTTCAAGTATCTTCTACAGTACTTACAGAATCTATTCAATCTATTCAGATAGTTGTTTTTTTTTTTTTTTTTGGGGGGGGGTTACCTACAGAAGTGCTTTCTTAAATAAGGAATTTTTAAGAGTGAAAGTATGTTATGTAAAAAAACATTCTCATGTTTCTACTATCAAAAACAAGGTATTTAACAAATTCAGTTTCCAGGATATAATCCAGGATCCTTACCAGCAGTCCTAGGCCCATCATAAGCACCTGCTTCTTCACCATCTCTAAATATCTTCAGGGTTGGATAGCCACTGACTCCATACTTATTACAGGTCTCTGTGTTGGCAGTGCAATCAACCTAAAGATTAAAAAACATACTTGTATTCCCAAAATATTAGGACTGTCAAGTCATTAGAATATTAAGCAATTCTTGGCATATATACCACAGAACATTGGATCTTAAAGGCACACTAGTGCTGGTCAAGAAGCAAGTATTGATAAGTATAGTTTAGATTCCTAAGATTCCTACAAAATACTTAAAGTACTATTTAAATTTTGCCCTTGGAGTCTCTGTTGTCTAAAGCAGTGGCCTCTACCTTTTTTTCTGCCTCAAAACAGGTGAGAAACAAAAAAAAATCACTTTCATAGTCACACAAAGCAGAAATTAAATTGTGATTAAACTTTCCCCCCCATGGCAAGCTGCTTGGTTTCAGGATTAAAAGCAGTTTTCAGAAACAGCCTTATAGATGAATGTGTATTTGAGACTGGCAGAAATATGAGCTTTTAGAGTAGAACAACTGTGAGTTTACTACAGAAGAATGGAATGGCAAGTTCATGAAGCATTACTTTAACTGTAAAAAACAAATACCAAGTTTACAGTTGACTAATTGGTTACATATCATCAATAGCCCCATGCCATTTTCCTACTCACTATGAATACCATATGGCAGTTTAGGGAACTCATTTACTCAATAATTTTCCTTTAACCTTTATAGTTGTACTTATACTGTCCATATTTGCTCCTAATTCCTATTTATCATATAGTTTCTTTCTTTCTTTTCAGTACTAGGGACTGAGTCTGGGGTGGTTCACATTTCTAGCCCTTTTTATTTTGAAATAGGATCTATCTAAGTTGCCCAGGATGGCCTCAAACTTGTGATTCTCTTACCTTAGTCTTCCGAGTAACTGGGATTACAAGTGTGTGCCACTATACCTAGCTGCCCTATAGTTTATTTCTTATGCCAATAATTTCCTTAGTCTCATTTTTATTTTTTTGAAACTATACAATAGTCAGGCATTTGTCCAGAAACTAATATTCACCCTTCTTAGCACCATAAGAGTACAGAAAGTGAATGCTAATTCTATACACTATTATTTAAAATACTTTATATCCCTTAAGGAAAAATCCGCCTTTACTCACCTTTGCTAGTGGAACTATTCCTTTTAATCTGGTAGCTGCAGCTTCATACTCAGGAGCAAGCCTTTTGCAATGTCCACACCTACATAAATGTAAAAAAGCCATTTTCAATTTAATGCTACAATTTTTTTTTAATGTCTCTCTAGGAAGAATCTCAAACTATAACACAATTTTTGAACTATCAGATACTTCCAAAAGCAAAAATATCACACCCAAACGTTATCATTATTGCTAAAGTAAACCAGAGCTCTCAGAAGATAAAGGTCTTATGTAAAACCCAGGTAGACTCTTTAGCACTGGCTCAGTGCAAGGGCAGCATCTATTTTCTGAAGTGAAAGTATATTGAGCCAGGCACCGTGGTACATACCTACAACCCTACCAGGGAAGCAAGAGAATCACAACTTCAAGGGCAGCTTGGGCAACTTAGCAAAACTCTGTTTTAACAGGGCTAGCTAGGGATGTAGCTCAGTGGTAGCGTGTCCCTGGGTTAAATCCCCAAGGCGGTCAAAAAAAGAGTTCTGGAAACTACAGTCAGAAGTGTATCTCACTTTCCTTTATCCCAATAGCTGCTGCCATGAAGGTCGAGCTGCGCAGTTTTAGCGGGTACAAGATATACACTAGACACGGGAGGTGCTACACCAGGACTAATGGAAAGGTTTTCCAATTTCTTAATGCAAAACATTTCCTAACCAAGAGGAATCCTTGGCAGATAAACTGGACTGTCCTCTACAGAAGAAAGCACAAAAAGGGCCAGTTGGAAGAAATCCAAAAGAAGAGAACCCAACGGGCAGTCAAATTTCAGAGGGCCATCACTGGTGCATCCCTTGCAGATATCATGGCCAAGAGGAATCAGAAACCAGAAGTTAGAAAGGCTCAACGAGAGCAAGCTGCCAAGGAAGCAAAAAAGGCTAAGCAGGCATCTAAAAAGATGGCAATGACTGTTGCTAAGGCTCCCACAAAGGCAGCACCTAAGCAAAAGATTGTGAAACCTGTGAAGGTTTTTGCTCCCCGAGTTGGTAGAAAACACTAAATTGGCAGATGAGATTTTAAAATAAAGATGTGTCTAATAACTTATATGGTGTTGAATGTTTGCTCCCAAAAAGGCATGTTGGGTCTACATGGTAATAGGTGTTCGGTAAAGTTGAGAATTTAAGACAATTTCAAATTCATTTCTTGGGGCTGGGGGTATAGATCAAAATTGTAGAGTGTTTGGTTAGCATATACATGCTCTGGGTTTGATTTCCTGCGCCAAAATAAAATGAAAGTTCATTTCAGGAATAATGCCTTCTGATGTAACCCTTTTAATTGGAGAAATGTTAAAATAAGGCAATAAAGATGTGTGGTTGAATGCTTAAAAAAAAAAAAAAAAAAGAAGTATACCTTACACTAAAGACAGAAAGGTTTCAAGCCTATTTGACCAACTAATGAGGTTAAAATGAAACCAATAATTCCATTTTCCCTTAGGAACCAGCATTTTGGTTCTTAATAAAGTGATTGAATCTTTAAGAACTAACATGCCGGGCTGGGGTCGTGGCTCAGTAGCAGAGCGCTTGCCTAGCATGTGTGAGGCACTGAGTTTGATCCTCAGCACCACATAAAAATAAATAAAATAAAGGTCCATTGACAACTTAAAAAAAAAAAAAAAAAAGAAAAAGAAAAGAAAAAAGAACCAACATGCCAGTAATCCCAGCTACTCAGGAGGCTGAGGCAAGAGGATTACAAGTTAGAGGCCAGCTGGGAAACTTAGGAAGACCCTGTCTCAAAATAAAATAAAAAGGGGTAGAATGCTTTCCTAGCCTGCACAAAGGTCCTTGATTTAAATGGAGTAATAGAGGGGCGAGGATGGGGCATGCAGCAACAAATGATTTTTCTCCATTTTCAATGACTCTTTTTGACCAGAAATATAGTTTGAGGGGTAATGGAAAACAGGGCCCAAAGGGCACTGGTATAATATTAATAGGTACTCTATTGGCTTACCAGAGGCCTACTTCTTGTCAACTGACTTTCAACACAGCATTAGAATGATATATTTAAGATGGCAAGCCTGATTTTTAGTTACACGATTCACCTGTCCATGAGAACCTATAAAAGCATGTAAACCAGACTATTTTTCCAAGAGGGCCACCAGAAGCACCTGGTCCAGAAAGTCCTAACAAGTCCCACAGGTGCACTGTACATGCAATGGTATAACATATTCTTATGAGTGCACAACAAGCACCAGCTGTACATCATCTTTTCAAAAGCCCATGGGTTGCATAGGGATCATTTTGAGAACATTAAGAAGTTCTGTAACCTCCCCAAGACAGCAAAAATAAAAAACAGAAGGAAAAATTAGGGAAAAGACATGAGCTGATATATTATACTCCTAAAACTGTTTATGACAAAGGACTGTAAGAGCTTATATTCTCTAAGATCTTCAGAAATCCTATTCAAAATCTATTATGGGAGAGTTTAAGCAAAGGAACAGTGATGAAAAGGAAGATTGTTAATACTTCATGCTCTAGGATCACATACATATTTACTAAAAGTATAAAAGGACTAAATGATAAACACCAAATTCAGAATAGGGGAGGCATTAGACGGGGAAAAAGTACACAGGGGGTCTCAACTGTACTGACTTTGTTTTTAGACTGAGTGGTCTTCTCAACTGAGTTTCAGTACAGCATTGTATAAAGAATAGTATATTAAGAAAAAAATGATATTTATTTCTCTCTCTCTCTCTCTTTTTTTTGGTAGTGCTGGAGATTGAACCCAGGGCCTTGTGAATAGGTAAGCACTCTATCAACTGAGCTATTTCCCCAGTCCCAAGCTATTTCTTATATAGTATTTTACAGATGCATTTTTTAAAAATTGAGATGTGTCTTACATTCATATAATACTTTCAATGGCAGCATTTCTTTCTCAGTGAGGCATAATGGTTCCTCTCTCAATCAGTCCTGATGTATTTGAAGTATGTCATTTACTATATCCTTTGTATTCCTCTAATCTTCAAATAAACTAAAAATTAGTGTACTTGGGTTATAACCCAAGCACACAAATTTCAGTTAATTCAATGTAATAAATAACCAGGTTTGGTGGAACATAATAAGCATTAAAAGGTTTTAGGAATGCATTTCAGTAGCACATGCACTTAAAAAGCAGCATCTTAAAGAGTGTGGGGCCAGACACAGTGGTGCACTCTGATAATCCCAATGGCTCAGAAGGCTAAGGCAGGACTGTAAAATTGTGGCCAGCCTAGGCAACATCCCTATCTCAAAATTTAAAAATTAAAAGGGCTAGGGATATACCTCAGTGGAAAAGTGCCCCTGGGTTCAATCCCCAGTAATAAGAAAATAGAGGAGGAGATGATGTCTTCAGAGAACTATAAAGACTCTTTTTGAGAGCTAATAAATGTGAACATATGTACGCGTATAATGACTATATAAGCAACATATAGGACTGACAAGAAGGGAAAAATTAGAGGGAAGAATAGAGCCACCTAGCTGGGCGTGGTGGCATAAACATAATCCCAAGGACTTGGGAGGCTGAGGCAGTAGGATCTCATGTTCAAGGCCAGGCTCAGCAACTCAGTGAGACCCTGTCTCAAAATAAAAAAAATAAAAAGGGATTGGGGATGTGGCTTAGTGGTTAAGCACTCGTGGGTTCAATCCCTAGTCCCAAAAATAAAAGAATAGAGCCACCTAGAAGATAATATATTTCACATAGTAAATAATGAAATGAGAATAAAGAGATAGAGGAGAGGTTTCTATTGACTTTCTATTGTAGTAATTGTCAAGGTTAAATCAATAGAGTTAGTAATTTCACCTCAACTTCTTCAAACATATGAAGAGGGAAAAAAAATCATACAAAATAGCTATTAGGTTAGACCAGTTGGTGTCAACCCTACATGCATATCAAAAAATATTCATGGAACATTAAAATAAAAAATTATGCATGACTGACAATGAGAAATCCCATGGATGTAGGGAAAAAAACCAGGTGTATGTGGGAGTTGCAAGGTCAGGACAAAAAGCCACTGCTCTAAGCATCAGCAATATCCTTAAGTTCAACAAATGCACAAAGGGTGTTCCCATGAGGTTGACCGAGATTGCCTTCTTCAATTTGACAGGAATGTAAATCAGGTAGAATTTATGGAAAATTAGAGTTACACAGACCTGTCAAGATTTACCACTATCTTTTCCATTCATCTCTAGGCAATATTAAAACAAAGAATCCACCTACCCTCAGGGATGGCACCTAGCAATGATAACGAATTCCAACATATATTCACCTGACAATCATTATTTCATGCCTGTCATGTGCCAGATGCTATTATTTTAACATTTGATAGATAAATCCATTTAGTTCTTTCCCTATAGGAACACCAGTCTGGTTGAAGGATCAACTGGTTAGTTGTCCAGGGAAGGAAAGAGTAACTTATAAGCTAAATATCAATTTTGAAAAGTTTAACTGGGGGTTGGATCAAGTAAGAAATAAGCATATATAAAAACAAATATTAAGGTCAGAATGATGGTGCACACCTGTAATCCCAGATACTTGAGAGGCTGAGGCAGGAGGATCACAAGTTCAAGGCCAGGTCAGGCAATTTAGGAGATCTTGCCTAAAATAAAAAAGGGCTGAGGGTATGTAGTTCAGTGGTAGAGCACTTGCTTAGCGTGCATGAGGCCCCAGGTTCAATTCCCAGCCACATGCACAAATGTATTTCACTTTATTTTATCTATATAATTCTATTCCCAGGGCTGGGGATCAAAACTCATGCATGCTAGGCAGGCAAGTGCTTCACCACGGAATTATATCCTCAGCCCCACATATCCTTTTCTGTACTCTAGAAACATTGTATATTAAATATCATTTTTTATTACTAGTGTTAGAAAATAGTAGAGCTAGTTGAAGATGTGGTTTAGTGATAGAGCACTAGTCCAGCACCAGCAAGGCCTTAGGTTCCATCCCTAGCACTGCAGGGAGATTAAAAAGTCTGGAGGAGCTGAGTGGGGTACAGTGGCATCCACCTGTAATCCTAAGGGCTAGGGAGACTGGGAGGCCAAGGCAGGAGAATTAGCAGTTCAAAGCCAGCCTCAGCAAACAGTGAAGTGCTAAGCAACCCAGTGAGACCCTGCCTCTAAATAAAATACAAAATAGAGCTGGGGATGTGGCTCATTAATTGAGTGGTCTGGAGTTCAATCTCCAGTATACCCCCTCCCAAAGTTTAGAGGGTAGCACAAAAATCTACAACATAAGTAGATGTTCAGGATTTAAAATTAATACTGCTCAATATATTTTTTAAAATTATTACATTCAATAAGGCTATTATTTATCCTTCCCCTGGAAAAATTCAGATAATCCTATCCTTATAAATGTATACATGACTAACTTCATAATGGAAACCTTAGTCTACAAAGAAAACTTCAACAAAATCTTTCACTTTCACTTGTAAAATGAAAATGGAAGAAAACCTAAAGATAAAAAGAACTTGCTCACAATAGGCTTATTTTACTTTTTAATTTTTTTAGTTCTTGATAGACCTTTATTTTAATCATTTTCATTTATATGCGATGTTGAGAATCGAACCCAGTGCCTCACACATGAGACACAAGTACTCTACACTGAACCACAACCTCATCCCTTATTTAATCTTAATAAACATTTCCAGCTGATATATTAATAAATAAAATAGGAGGAAATGAAGACATTATCAACAGAAGACTTCCTTGACTCCAAATCACTCATTCAGAAAGCTGATCCTTCTTGCTGATATTGTGGAGGATGACCTTATCTTTTAAACCAATTAAAAGCAGACACCACAGCAGATATCCATTCCAATTCTTGGGACAGTTTAGTGCATTATGGGATATGTAGTTTTAAGGGAAGCACGTGCAACACTTTAAAATAGAAAAGAATGCCTTTAATTGGAAAATTTTAAAATTTTGCTTTAAACTAATAGCCTGATGGCCCACAATTCTCCAACAATTCCTGAACTGTTATACCACCCCTAGAGTTAAAAAAACTACCCATGACATCCCCTCAAACTTAATAGCATGATTATATAATTAAGAAGAGACATTTTTAAAGGAGACAATATCTATAATAGAGACAATATCTATAATATGTGATCAGTACTGTCAGCCACAAGAATGCCCTGGACACAAAATTTGTCACAGGCTGAAAATATAATTGGACACCTCTAACACACCCTTCTGAATCAGGTGGTCTTTACTTTTGAGTGTAACCCTGAAAAAAGTCAGCCAAGCTGGAGGAGTGAAGACCCAAATCAGAAGCAAGTAAATGTTACACACTAACTTTGTATTTCTGATGCTTTTGAATAGTCTTTAACTAAGGGTCATTGGGCCAGGAGGGGAAAAATTAAGTACTGTAATTGGCATGGATCCACTGGGCTTTAAAACAATTCTGGTTTGCTCTGGTAAGGATATGAAAGTTACCACCACCACCACCACTCAGGATGACAGGGCCTGAAATTCTATTTGCTCTCCCTTACCCTCAAGTAAGATTTTTTATTTTAGATCTACTCTAAGGAATCCACACTCTTATTGGGGTTAAGTCACCCTGAAACCGGAGTATTTCTCTAACACTGGCTACTATTTCAGAAATCCTAATTAAAACCGATAATTTGGTCAGATTCTGATGGAAATTATTCTTGTTCATCCAGCCTTTCTTTTTGACAGAGACCTCTGCCAGTGCTGAAAAATAAATGATGAGTTTAATGTAAAAACTGTATGAAATGGATAAAATAATTGCCTGCTTCAAGAAAGCACTTCTGACCATTCTGCAACCCCACTGACTGATTGACCTTGGCTAGAAACCAACAGTCGTGGGGCGGGGGGCTAGAAGAAAGGAAATAGCCTGGGGCCCAGGACCTCTGCACTTACTGAACCCGTCCTTTCTCTACCAGGCTTTGGGATGCCTCGTCTGCAGAGTGGAGAGCTTTTACACTGACTCACCTAAAGACTGAAGATACGAGTGGAGGGGGAGGGGATGGTTAAACCCTTTGCAAATAGGAAGTACCGCAAGAGCGCGGAGGTATGGATGTGGCCCTGCGCGAGAGGCACCTCCGGATTTTCCTTCCGGGGTCCCGTTCCCAGGCGATCCACGGCCACTTCTCCGCTTTCGACAAAGCACCTTCCAGCTTCCCGGGGATAGGAAACTGGCCGGTTGCAAACTGGCCCGCTGGAATGATGGAGGACGCCGACGCTGCGTAGGCCCTACCATTCCGCGCCCTGCCCCCGGCCCAGCCGGCCATCCCTCCCACCCCAGCAAAGTGGCCTCACCAGGGCGCGAAGAACTCGACGAGCATGAGGCCCGCAGAGCCCGTGTCGGAGATGCGACTCTCGAAGTTGGCGTCCGTGAGTTCCAGCACGTCGGAGGCAGCAGCAAGGCGGGCCGCGGCTAGGAGAAGCGCCACACCCGGGAACGGCGCTAGGCGGCGGAGGCGCATGGCGGCGAAGTGAGGCGAGGGCGGCCGGGAGGGTCGGGGCTCGGCGGGGACTGCGGAGATCGAGCCGACTACCACGTACCGGCTGCCTGTGCTCGCGCGTCTAGCCCAAGCGGACCTGCAGCCGGAGGTCCCAACCCCCTAGCCCGGCTCGGGCCGCAGTGTGGCAGTCGCTGATTGGCTTCCTGGTGTCTGCGTCGGGCGGGCGGGACCAGCTGGTAACTGCCGAGTGGCTGGAGCGCGGGGCGGGGCCGAGGCTGCAAGCACCGCGGCAGGGGCGGGGCCCGGGGCGGGCAGGATCTTGGGGGTCTGCTGGAAAGGCCGCGCAGCGAGTCTGGGGCTCGGCCCGGAGAGGGTCCTTCGTGGGGGAACCAAGTTCTGAGGGCTCAGGAGCCGGAGGCCGGGGAGTGAATTCCGGGTTGAGTGGGCGGAAGGGAGCCTGGGTTGAGGTGAGGCCCAGCAGCGGGAATTGAGAGAAAGAGCTGGCCCCTAAGGGACCGTTGGAGTGGACACACGCGGCAGGGCACATTTTCAAAAGTCAGATTTTTGCATTGTCCAATTCCTCATCCTTTATTTATTTATTTATTTGGGGGGGGGGGGAGCAACCACCTACGCCCTCACTCCGCTCCACCTCATTGCCTGATTCCCTCAGGTCCAGATGGGTCCTGGATACTTTGTCCATCCTGAGGGCCCCTGCCCTGGTGGCTGCTGCTTTTTTTTTTTTTAACTGAATAAATTTAGACAAGTTTCTTATTAGAAATGCTGTTAGAAAACGAAGTTGTCTGGACACCTGGTTGACTACGCAGTATCTCTGACGACTTTTATTCTCTTTTGTTTAAATCAAACCATGAGTCTTAGTGAATTTGTTCTCACTGTTAGTAGTTCCTAGATTTGAGCTTGTTAAGATCTCTTAAAGGCAAAAAGGGTAAAGAAGAGGAGCAAAAACCCTCTAGTACTGGTGCAACTTCTAGAATGAAATAACCCTTGATTCTTCTGTTTTCTTAACAGACATGGCTACTGATTACCAAGCAGGGCACATGCAACTGCCCAGAGCTGATGCCATTCGTTCGCGTCTCATCGATACTTTCTCTCTCATAGAGCATTTGCAAGGCTTGAGCCAAGCTGTGCCTCGGCACACTCTCCGGGAGATACTTGGTCAGCTATTTCTTCGTTACACTTAGTTTTAGACTCCTATCTTCATTCTCCAGAGTAGGAAGCAGAGAAATTTAAGGGTAGAAAATTAAGGGAAGTTTGTTTCGTTGCTGATTTGGAGGCTACACTTGATAAATTATCAAGGGTTGTATAAATAAAACTTTGAATCCAGGAAATAGAGCCCATGTCACTCCCTTTTAGGCTATTAGCTTTGACTAACTTTGAAAAGTTTCTCACCAAAGACACTTTGAGTTGAAACTGCTGCTTTCATTCTTGGGCATGGTCAGTGTTGGTCTTAAGCCATATGTTAATTCTCACCCCAAACTAACAAGATTTTTATTTGCTGTGAGAAGGAGCAACTGCAAGGCAAGTCCTTGTACTATAAAACTCATTTTCCGATCAATCTCCCTACGTCCAACCCTCCTTTTCATAACCCCAAAGAATTTCCTTTATGTTTGTCCACTCCCCTTTTTTGGATAGACTCTTGCTGGTTGGCCTTTAACTCCTGGACTCAAGATTCTCACCCTTCAACTTCAAGTAACTGGGACTAGAGGCATGTGCTATCCCTTTTTAAAATTTTTGTTATAGATCCTTCCCTTCAGAAGAAACTTTTGCTGGGAGATCAGCATCAGCTAGTGCGAATATCCATAAAGCCTCGACATGTAGGACGAATTTCACATGCCCAGCGAATGATGAGCAGGTTGCGTGTGCGCTGCAGTCAGAGGCCACCTCTTTCCTTGTGGGCTGGATGGGTTCTTGAGAGTATCCTTTATGTCTCTGTTTTTTATGCATAATAATTTGCCATCTGTGTATGATTTCTTTTTCCCGACCCCAAATACCATTTTCATTGTATCTAACGGTATCTATATATATATTTATATATCCCTACCCAGGTCCTCATGCTGTATCTTATGTTCTTGCTGTTATTATTTCAGTTCCATAAATCTGAAAGAACTCCATTTTATGTTTCCTTAAGAGAAAATAGGTTCTGTCTTCACAAATTTCATCATCTTCCTCATCTTCCTGAATACAATCGTACTAATGGTTGAAATAGGTGAGAACTGATACTGAAAGAGGAAGTGGGTGGGAGGTATTTTCTTTTAAATTGATCATTTTACCTTTTAAAACATTGTTTGAATTGTGATAGGGACAATTCTATTAAGCCCTCTGGAATAGATTTTGTAGAGCTGCTAAGATCTAGAAACATTTGGAGGGTTCTCAGGGTACTAGGTTCTCAGGGTACTAGTAGTAGACACAGGGTAGTCTAGACACTTAAAGGTAGGGTGTAATATGTAGCAATGTGACAAATCCACAATGAGCTGGAGGTGGGAACAAAACACCTGGCAATTGGCTTACTTTTAAAAATAATTTTCATATTTTGTTTCTAAATGATGAGAGAGAGCCAGGGCGTGGTGGTGCACACCTGTAATCCCAGCGTCCCAGGAGAATGAGTTAGGAAGATTGCAAGTTCAAAGCCAGCCTCAGCAATGGCTAGGCACTAAGCAACTCAGTGAGAACCCTGTCTAAATAAAATACAAAATAGGCCTGGGGATGTGGCTCAGTGGTTGAGTGCCCTTGAGTTCAATCTCCAGTACCAAATAAATAAATAAATAAATAAACAGACAAATAAATAATGAGAGAGAAAAAAGAAAAGATTTGGCTCATTTACAATTCTTACTCTGAAAATAATACGTTGCCACCATGGATAATCCTTATTTCCAATTAGAAAATAAATGTAGCATCATTACAGTTTCATTGACATTGATGTTTAAAGTTTTAGAGACAGCTTGATGTGCTGTATAAAATTTTTCATTGTGAGTGCACTTTATGGAATCTAATGAACATCATGATGACATAAACTTGCAGAATTATTTTCTTCTTTTTTTTTCTTTCATGGTATCCAGGGACACTTAACCACTGACCCACATCCCCAGCCCTTTTTTAATGTTTTATTTAGAGACAGGGTCTTACTAAGTTGCTGAGGCCAGCTTTGAACTCACGATCCTCCTGCCTCAGCCTCCTGAGCCACTGAGATTATAGGCTGTGAGCCACTCTCAGTTTATTTGCTGTTTTGAGAGAGGGTCTCAATAAATTGCCTAGGGCTTCCTTAAGTTGCTGAGGCTGGCTTTGAACTTGCAATCATCCTGCCTCAGCCTTCCCTGGTGCTGGGATGACAGGTGTGTATCACTGCACCTGGCTCTTATGCTCTTCTTATCTTTATTTTGTTTATTTGTTTTTATGTGGTGCTGAGGATCGAATCTAGTGCCTCACATTGCAAGGAAAGCACTCTGCCACTGAACCACAACTCCAGCCCTCTTATGCTCTTCTTAAAGTTGTACTTTTCGGCATCAGTGTTCCTTACTTAATTGTGGATATCATTAGCTAAAATGTTCCTAAAAACAATGAAAATTTTAAACTATATAAGTGTCAAAATCTATACAGTTTGTGTTGTTCAGGGTGATTAAGTATGTTCTGATCTTCTTTAACTGCCAGGTATATCAATCAGAACATTTGATGTTCCTTGGATGGTTCTGTTTTAGAGGGGAATGTATTTAGTTACTAAAGAATAAATATGGGAATTAAAGTAGAGCCCATAACACCTTTAAAATCACTAAACTCTGGAACACCTTCAAGAATTCCCAAGGTACTGTCATGTAACAAAAAAGAATTTTCAGGGGTTTGCAAACTTGTTTGAAAATGCTTTCTAGTTGAAAAACATCCTGAGATGCAGAAAGATAAAACTTTCAAGGTCATTCATCTAGAAGCTGGTGGAGATTACTTTCAAACCCAGGTATCTGGCCCTGAAATTTTTTCCTTGAATTCAGCCTGAAATTCTGAATACCGGTTGTTATATCAAACATATGTCCCTATACCCATAACTAGAAAAAGAAAGCTAATCAATTACAAAAATGAGTGCCTTCTGTGAAGGGATGCTTAAAAGTATACGGTAGTTTGGAGTGAAAAGAATCTGGGAGGCTGAGACAGGATTGCAAGTTCAAAGCCAGCCTTAGCAAAAAGCGAGGGACTAAGCAACTCAGTGAGACCCTGTCTCTAAATAAAATAACAAAATAGGGCTGGGGATGTGGCTCAGTGGCAGAGTTCCCCTGAATTCAATTCCTGGTACCAAAAAAAAAAAAAGGAAAGAATCTTAGTATCTGTAAAATAATTAAAATATTACAGGATAATCCCCATATGCTAGCTGTAAGAAAAGTATTGTTAATTTGAAAAACTAAGTAACAGAAGATTTAGGGAAAGTAATAGAAACCAGATAATTAAGGCACTAAGGAATTTAAGATTAATTAGGGATATATATATATATGTATTATTATGTATTATTATATATTATATATATATGTATTATATGTATTATTATATATGTATTATTATGGAAGGCAATTCTGCCCTTCTGCAAAAGTCCTTTAAGTCCTATTGTTCTAACTTAATGACATTTCTTATGTTCTAAAGATTTTACTAGTTTTTGTTTTGTTTTGTTGGATGGGGGGATTGAACCTAGGGACTCTCTACCACTGAGCTACATTCTGAGACAGGGTCTTGCTAAGTTGCCAAGGCTGGCCTTGAACTTACAGTCCTCCTGCCTCAGCCTCCATATAGCTGAGATTAGAGGCATGTGCCACTGTGCTTGGCAGGATTTTACCAGTCTTATTTTCAAATCATGTAACTTGGCCAAATCAACACTAGTGTTTTATTATAGCCCTTTGTATACAACTAAATGAGAGAAAGAAGAAACACTGGGGAATGATATTGTTATATTGTGTGCAAGTATGAAAATGTAACAACAAATCCTACTATTAAGTACAACTATAATGTATCAATAAAAAAAATGAGGAAAAAAAAAAACAACCCAAAGGCTTATTTCTACAGTGGAATTGTAAGCATTATTTGAACTCATCATTTGCAACTCTTATTGTTGTCGTTTGTGGAACATATATACAAATTATGGTGTGCTCCTCTCTTTGGCAATGTTGAACTTCTCTTGCAACCAATGTGAATTTACCTGATATTCTATGTGCTAGATTAGGAAGTGGCAATAGACAACTCTCAATATTGAAACTCTACCATAGAATCATATACATATGCCTGACTTGGTTGATAAAGCTACTGCCTTCTGTCACCCCAAGAGAAGAATATTCAAATGTAGATCTTCACTATTAACTCACAGCAGTGACTAAAATTCCTGGCTGGACTGTGCTGGGCTCCTCAGCTCTTTTTCCAATAAGATTCCTTTGCATTATTAAGGCAGGCTGTTTTTTTGTTTGTTTTTTTTTTTTTTTTTTTTTTTTTTGTTACCAAGGATTGAATTTAGGGGTACTTAACCACTGAGCCACATCCCCAACCCTTTTTAAAATATTTTATTTAGAGACAGGGTCTCACTGAGTACCTTAAGGCCTAAGTAAAGTCCTAAGGCTGGCTTTGAATTTGCAATCCTCCTGCCTCAGCTTCCTAAGTCACTGGGATTATAGGTATGTGTTGCTGTGCCCAGCAGGCTGAAAATTTTTTCAAGTTACATTTTCATTTCAGATAGTATATACATTTTCATTGATTGATGTGGAGTTGGAGGCAGTCATTTTTGCACACTCTGTTTTGCTTAGGCAATTCCTAGAATTTCTTCCTCTAAACTTCCTTGGGTTGCTTCTTTTTTTTTTTTTTTTTAATTGAGGATTAAACCTAGGGTGCTCTATCACTGAGATATATCCCCAGTCCTTTTTATTATTATTATTATTTTAGTTGTAACTAGACACAGTATAGTTATTTTCTTTATTTTTATGTGGTGCTGAGGATCGAACCCAGGCCCTCTCACCTGCTAGGTGAGTGCTCTATCTCTGAGCCACAGCTTCAACCCCTGTCCCCGGTCCTTTTGGGGCTTGGGATGTGGCTCAAGTGGTAGCGTGCTCACCTGGCATGTGTGAGGCACTGGGTTCGATCCTCAGCACCACATAAAAATAAAGATATTGTGTTCACCTAAAAAACTAAAAAATAAACATTTAAAAAAAATTTTTTTTTGAGGGGCTGGGGATGTGGTTCAAGTGGTAGCGTGCTCACCTAGCATGCGGGAGGCACTGGGTTCGATTTTCAGCACCGCATAAAAATAAAATAAAGATATTTTAGAAAATATTTTTTTTGAGACAGGGCCTCACTAAATTGCTGAGGCTGGGGGCTGGGGCTGTGGCTCAGTGGTAGTGCACTTGCACTGGGTTCAATTCTCAGCACCACATATAAATATATAAAATAAAGGTCTATCAACAACTAAAATAAATAAATAGATAGATAGATAGCTGAGGCTGGCCTTGAACTTGTGATCCCCTTGCTTAGCTTCCTGAGTAGCTAGGATTACAGAAGTATACCACTACACCAGGCTGGCACCTGTTCATTTAGCTTCTTAAAAAAACATCAGCTCTTTTCCCAGAGAATAAAATAACAATAGCTTCTTTAATTTGTACTTCCATACTCAAATCATCAGATTCCTCTTTCCAAGACTTCTACTTTACACTGTTTCATTGCTCTCTTTGGTTTCCTGTTTTGTGAAGGCAAAAACTAAACAAAAATTATAGTAATCAATTTCCCAGTCACAAATGTGGTTTTCAGCTACTTTTAATACTATAATCTCATGTTTCTGAGATCCATAACTTATTGTTATTGATAAAATATTGTTCTTTTATTGAATCTAAGCTGCCATCAATAGTGAGATGCACTAAGAAATAAAAATTCTGGGACACATCATTGATTTTTAAGATGCATCCTAATTTCAGAGATGTTAAAAGTGGAACACTGCCTCAGAATTGGAGGAACATTTAAAAAAATTTTTTTTAGTTGTTGATGGACATAATACCTTTATTGATTTTATGTGGTGCTGAGACTTGAACCCAGTACCTCACACATGCTAGGCAAGCACTCTGCCATTGAGCTACAGCCCCAGCTCTGGAGGAACATTTTTTTAAAAATTATTTTAGTTGTAGATGGACACAATACTTTTATTTTATTTATTTATTTTTATGTGGTGCTGAGGATTGAACCCAGTACCTCACATGTTAGGCAAGCACTCTAACAGTGAGTTATATCCCCAGCCTCTGGAGGAACATTTTATGTAAAAGAAAAATTTCAAGAAGCACATATCCTAAAGAAGCATTAGGATAAGTATAGTATGACTCCCATAGGTTTTTTTTTTTTTTTAAGAGAGAGGAGAGAGAGAGGGAGAGAATTTTAATATTTATTTTTTAGTTATCGGCGGATACAACATCTTTGTTTTGTATGTGGTGCTGAGGATTGAACCCGGGCCGCACGCATGCCAGGCGAGCACGCTACCGCTTGAGCCACATCCCCAGCCCTCCCATAGGTTTTTAACCAACCCATTCCAGAGAGTTGACTGTATGGTTCCTTTCTTTTTATCTTGATCCAATCCAAGATCAGGTAACTGTAAAGCAATAACACCATAATATTGATGCTTATTTAGCTTATTTTGACCTTACTTTTTTCTAGTGCATAGCATACATTCATTAGATGTATAAAAAGTGATGGAGAAGGTTAAAAGATTAAAAGTTAAAGGGACAGCATTTAGCAAATAATGAGGTTCTAGAGAGGAAGCATAGGGTTCAATTTGCTTTGCAGAAAAAAAAATAATTTTTTGGTAGAGAAGAAGGAAAAGAAAGCTCAAAAATAAAGGGCCAAGTAATTTTGAGGTAGGCAAGAAGACATAAGGATAGATAGAAAGGATACATGGGAAGAGTGGCCCTGGATTAAAAATCTAGATTTAGAAGTCCCTTTCATATCTTAATCATAAACAGCACTGTTCAATCAGTTATTAGACCTTATCCACAGGTACACCTATGTAGTATCATGTTCCAAAGCAGAATGTATCAAAGACAAGAAAAGTAAATAATCCTGGTATTGCTGTTATTCCACTATTCAGCAAATGAACCCCATTCTGGTAATGGTCAGCATGTCCAGTTAACCAACACAGGGGAGAACTAAAAACAATCTCTTAGATCATGTCTCTGTACTATTCATCTTACAATCATATATAAATGTGCCTACCTGAGATATAGCTAGGGCATTCCTCTCCTGTGCCCATACACTACCCTCTCAGAGTGTGTATTTCTTTCAGTAACCTCAGTCTGTTCCTTACTTAGACCCTTTTTAAAGTTCCTTTATGTGATGATATTAAGAATCCAAGGATTCTCACTGCCTGAGTTGAGGTCCACCTCCCTTCTGGGGGAAACTCCTTGATACTCCTGCCTGGTGATGATTTCATTTTATAACACAATAAACATGAATATAACTATGAATCTGATTTGTTGTGTGTACATCCTTTATGAAATATTTTATATATCCTGAACCTATGTTTTCATTCTATTAAGACCCAATGCTTTCTTGTGAACTCTGGGACTTATTTAACAGTACAGGGGGTGTGGGTAGAAGTGGTAAAGGGGAGGAATCCCTTAATGGTTGTGTGATCCCAGAATGGGTGGGAAGTGATTTGCAGTTGTTAGATATTAACAGGAAATGAATTGTGGCTGTTTTTTATGGTCATTGCTGTACGTCCCTGAATTTTATAGGTTGAAGCAACAGTGATAAGACAGGAAACTCAAAGAAAAATGGAATAGTAGTGGACAAAACTGTGGTTTATAAGTGATTATTTTCCATTATTCAACTTCCTACTTTCTTAATTTTTATACCTCCTTTGTTTTATTCTCACAGAATTGCTAGAATCCACAAATGCCAAACTGTGGTCATTGAAGCTGATTTTGGAGGTGGCAGCATGGTTTATCTTGTTTGTTTTCATCTTAGAGATCCTTCTAATGTGGCTATCAAGCTTTTTTCTTTTCTGGAAGAATGCCTGGAATGTATTTGACTTTATTGTTACCATATTGGTAAGGATAGATATCTTGAGGATTAGTTAGTGGGCTGAGGAATGTGTCTAGGTAAATCAAAATAACGAGAATACAGAAAGAAACACACAAAAATTAACCTAATTTCCTTCTTTGATATTTTTTTCTAAACTAAAAGTCAGTAATTGCAAGAATTGTTGGTATTAGGAGCAAGGTAGAATCTAACCACAACATCAATCCCAGAAATAACACCTGCCAGTTACTAAGTACTTATCAAATGCCTACACTAATGTTTTACATGTATTATCTCATTTGTGCTTCACAACAGTTCAAGAAGATAAACACTAATTTTATCCCTTTTTTTATATCTAAATGAGTTGAAATGCAGAGTTAAGTGACTTAGTGTAGGAGGGCTGAATCAATCTCCTGAGAATGCTATTCAAAGGATAGTACATAGGAAACTATTAGGAGGATAGGATGAAGAGTGCATCTGTGCCTGGGTGGTTTGGGGTATATTTTACTCATATTCTTGTTTCCTACAGTCTTTGCTTCCTGAAATTGTGGTGTTGGGAGGGGTATCAGGTCAATCTGTGTGGCTCCAGCTGCTGAGGATCTGCCGGGTGCTGAGGTCTCTCAAACTCTTTGCACGATTCCGTCAAATTCGAGTTATTATTTTGGCCCTGGTGAGGGCCCTCAAGGTGATTTGACTGTTGCAGCTAAAGCAGGGGGCAAGGTAGATGGGGGTTTAACATTTAATATGAAATAAGTCTGGATGGGTTAAATAAGGCAATAAAAGGTCCTGTGAAATGTTACTTGTTGAGAAAGGACCAGGAATAAACTGCTGTGAATTTGAGATGACTGGGTTCTGGAGTGGAAGTAAGGGTTTGGGTGGGCTGGCCAGGTGGGCTTGACTGGGCTGCTGGTGAAGATCAGCCTAGTCTGGCCCAGCTCTAACTTGAGGTCATGGCCTTCAGAGCATGACCTTCCTCTTGATGTTGCTGCTCATCTTTTTCTACATTTTTGCTGTGACTGGTGTCTACTTCTTTGAGGATTACACCCGTTCAACTCGCCAGGACCTGGTGTACAACGTGTTCTTCTCGTATGCAGGGCTGGGGAAGTCTGGGTGAGGGGAGGGAATCTGGGTTAGACACTAGGAAGCTCATCCAAAGCACAGTAATACAAAAAGTATAAGCTGTTGTAAGAAACAAGAACAGTTTCCTCCTTCCTCAGCCTCCCAAGCTGCTAGGATTACAGGCATACATCCACTGTGCCCAACTCCAGCTCTTTTTATTTTTAATTTTGAGACTAAGTCTAGTTAAGTTGCCCAGGCTGGTCTTGAACTTGTAATCTTCCTGCCTCAGCCTCCCAAATTACTGGGATTACAGGTATACAACACTGTGCCCAGCAGTTTTATAATTTTTTTATTATTTGTATATAATCATGATAATTATTTGGGATCATCTATGTCACATGTTCATCCATTTATTTGCCTATCAGTTCATACCAGTGAGTTAGAACAATTAGAATGAAGGTTTAAGAAAATCTTATTGGTGCCAGGCCTGTGGCACTCATCTGTGACTCCAGAGACTTTGGCAGGAGGATTATAAATTTTAGGCCAGCCTCAGCAATTTAGTGAGCCTCTGTCTCAAAAATTTTTTAAATTAAAAAATGGGAAGTGGGTACTGGGCATGTAGTTCAGTGGTAAAGCATCCCTGGGTTAAATCCCCAGTATATATATAAAAAAAAAACCAACAAAAAAATCTAGTTGATAACTCATTCATCTTTTGAAAATTTATTATGAAGTACTTACTATGCTTCAGGACTAATAGAATAGTAAGGGGTATTATTTAAGATAAAGGAAAACTTGTGTGTATGTGTGCAGGAGATTGAATCCAGGCCCTTGAGCATTCTATGAAGGTCTCTACCGATGATCTAGAACCCTAACCCCAGGAAAATTTAATAAAACAATTTCAAACTGAAGAATAATTAGCTAAAAATTCTTTTAATATGTTAGAACAAACTCTGAAGAAATTTTATGTTGCTTTAAAAATAAGAATTGTACAGTTTCTGAGAGATTTAGATGTTTGCTTCTATTATTCACACACCATTTTTTTTAGGGACCTGTTGAATTCCGTAGTGACAGTGTTCATTCTCTTCACCTTGGATCATTGGTATGCACTGCTTCAGGATGTCTGGAAGGTTCCCGAAGTCAGCCATGTATTCAGCAGCATCTATGTCATCCTTTGGTTATTGCTTGGCTCCATTATCTTTAGAAATATCATAGTAGCCATGATGGGTAAGCATGAAGGAGGTGCAACTTGTCGGGAAAGGGGTTGGCAAGAAATTAGTCTGATAACTGGAATTGGTGGACTGTGGGTAGAGAGAACCCAGTGTAGCAGGAAGGCTTGGATCCTGGAATGGTCTGTTCCCACCCAAGCCCTCTTTCCAGATCTAGTCACCACCATCTCCCAACTCCTAATGGCCCTTTGGGGCAGTTACTAATTTCCAGAATATCCGGAATGAGTTGAGCGAGGAAATGACGCATCTGGAGGTTCAGCACAAAGCTGACATATTCAAGCGGCAGATTATCCAGAGGTCTGCTCCCCTATTTTCAGACCCAACTTTATTTCTCTCAAGGGCTCTCTGACCTCATTCCTGGATTTCACTCTTTAACTTTGACCCTACTTTTCCCCTTATGACAGAAGATTCGCTCCTAAAGTTAAGAATTCCCCAGTTCTAGTATGTTGCCTAATTCTTCATCCACTGTGAGGGCTTCCCAACTCTTTTTCACTCCGTTGCCACAATTTCTTCTCCCTATATGGTTTTCTTCACTTGCTGATAAGAATTCTTGTCTTTTTCCCTTATTGCACTATGCTTATGGATAGTTTTCTCTACCCTTTTTCTTGTTTATGTTTTTTTGGTTATTGCTTTTGCAGGAGACAAAACCTGTCCCCTGAAGCACTGAGGTCATTCCATAGCAAAATACATACCAGGTTAGGAGCACTTATGTGAGCTGGGATGGAAACACATGAAGGAGGAGAGTTTAGAAAATCAAAGGAGAGGGCTGGGGCTGGGGCTCAGTGGTAGAGTACTTGCCTGGCACATGTCAGGCACTGGGTTTGATCTTCAGTACCACATAAAAATAAATAAACAAAATTTTGTGTCCATTTACAACTAAAAAAGAATATTTAAAAAAAGATTGACTTTGAGAGAGAGAATCCATTTATTTAATAACTATTAGTTGTAATCAGTTCAGTGGTGACCCTCCCAAATTATATGTCCATATCCTAACTCTCTAGAATCTTGTGAATGTGACCTTATTTTTAAAAATGGGCTGGGCATGGTGGTGCAAACCTGTAATCTCAGCGACTTGGGAGGCTGAGACAGGAGGATCACAAGTTCAAGGCCAGCCCCAGAAACTTAACAAGGCTTCAAGCAAGTTAGTGAGACCCTGTCTCAAAATAAAAAATAAAATAAGTGCTGAGGATGTAGCTCAATGGTTAAGCACCCCAGGTTCAATCACCAATACCAAAAAAAAAAAATAAGTCTTTGAAGATATGATTAATTTAAGGTTCTTGAGATGAGTTCATCCTGGATTTTCCAGGTATGCCCTAAGTTCAATGACAAGGATCCTTATAAAAGACAGAAAACACAGACCCATAGGATAGGGGAAAGAGAGGTGAAAATGGAACTAAAGATTGGAATGATGCAGCCATAAGCCAAGGGAAGCTGAGGCATGCTAGGTAGCTGCTAGAGGTAAAAGAGGCAAGGAACTTTGCCTCCCAAAGCCTCTAGAGGTAGTGTGGCACTGCCAACACTTTGATTTCAGACTTAGGGTCTCCAGAACTGTAAGAGAATATATTTCTGTTGTTTTAAACCACCAAGTTTGTGGTAATTTGTCCTGGCAGCCACAAGAAACCGATGCAAACACCTTCAATGAAACAGATACTGTTCTAGACCTTTAGTGTGTAGCAGTGAATAAGATAACAGAATAGAAAAAAAAGATACTCATTCACCCATTAACAAATAATTATTGAATACTTAGTAGGTGTTTGGGACATGCCAGAGACCAAAATAGACAATAATGCCTGCTTTCATGGCGCTCATATACTAGTAGAGGTAAAGAGATAATAAGCAATGAACATACAGACATTAAGTTAAATTATGTTAAGTGGGCTGGGATTGTGGCTCAGAGGTAGAGCGCTTGCCTACCATGTGTGAAACACTGGGTTCGATCCTCAGCACCATATAAAAATAAAGATATATGTCCACTTATAACAAAATAAATATTTTTTAAAAATTATGATAAGCATTATGGAAACATTAAAATTAGAATAGGTTAAAGGGAATTAGGAGTAGAGGCTAAAAAATGCATATGGGTTATAGTTTTAAACAGGGTAATCAAGGTATCCTCAATTGAAAAGGTAATATGTGAACAAAGACTTAAAGGAGGTGAGAAGATTTCCCTGGGGATATCTATGGGAAGAGTGTTAGTGGCAGAGGGAACAACTAGTACAGAGGTATTAAGCTAGAAACATGCCTAATGTGTTTGAAAAACAGCAAGGAGGCCATTGTTACTGGAGCAGAATAGGCAGGGGAAAGAGTAATGAGGTCAGAGAGATGATGGGATGGGAAACTGAATCTTTAGGGCTGTGGGAGGTCACTGGAGGGACTTGACTTTAACTTCAAGGGAAATGGGAAGCAGAAAAGAGGAGAGACATGGAGTGATTTACATTAAAGGATTATCAAGGTTGTTATATTGATGGTAAACTGTAAAGGAATAAGGGAAGGAGCAGAGATCAGCAGCAATGCATCTGTTCTCACAAAAGATGAAAATGACACAGACCAGGGTTGTACCAGTACCAGTAAGTTAGTGAGAAAAGGTGTATTTTAAGGGTAGGGCCAAGAGGATTTATTCATAGATTGAATGTGAGAAAAAAGAGAAGAGGTAAGAAAGGATATATTAGGGATAAATGAGATTGGAAGTGCCTAAGCTAAGTTTGGGAGTAGTTCATACTTCATAAGCTTTAAATTATCACTTTAGGGGTGGACAGGGACAGGACTAGAATAAACTAGTCATAACTCATAAATGCATTTGAAGCAATAAAATCTCTTAATTCACATACAGAAAAATCAGTAAACAAAAGGTATCTTCGGACTTTGAAACTTCTGAAGGGGATCACATAGAGACTGAATCCAGTGTTGCTGCTGAAGAACCAGCAGAGACTGAGCGCCATGCTGCTGAAGATATGGCAAAGGCTAAATCAAAAACAAAGAAATCTGTTCCCCGCAAAAAAGAGTACCCATCTGCCTCCTCTGCCTCCTCTTCTTCTTCCTATTATTCTGTGTCTCCAGGATTCAGATATTCTGATAATATTGGTGAGCAGAAGAGTTTCTTCTATTTGAATTCAGATTGCTCTATGAAAAATCACAATCTTAAGAGGAGCTCTCCCACTGTGTCTGTGTTCCAATTTTCTTCACCAGTCTGATTTTCTGGTCTTAATTACTTTCTTTGTACTTTTTAATTTTCCTTGAAGTTCTGTTTCACTTTGGATAAGTGTGGCTGTGGCTCTTTTCACTCATTGTACAAAGTAGTCTTTTTAAGGCATGATGGTACACCTATAATTCCAAAGATTCAGTAGGCTGAGGCAGGAAGATTACAGATTTGAGACCAGCCTTAGCAACTTAGCAAGAGAGCTTGTCTAGAAATTTATATATATATGTATACACACACATTTAAGGGCTGAGGATGTAGCTTGGTAAAGCAATTGTGGGTTCAATCGCCAGTACCCCAAAAACAGAAATCTTTTGGTGATGTGCCCTTTACCCTCCATGCTTCCTGTTTCCTCTTTCATCTCCACCTTTCTAGCCACACCATGAGATTTAATCAACTCATTTCCAACTTCTAGAAATCTAGGCATGTTTTTAAGAAATATTCCTCCCTACAGATAAGTTGGACTGGGAGACTCTTGTGCACCAGAATCTACCTGGGCTAATGGATATGGATCAGGATGACCGTGTGGTTTGGCCCAGAGACTCACTCTTCCGATATTTTGAGTTGCTGGAAAAGCTTCAGTATAACCTAGAAGAGCGTAAGATATTACAACAGTTTGCAGGTATGGAGTTACGGCAGTCATGGAGATTGGGAGTTGATAGCATGGGAATTATATATATATATATATATATATATATATATATATATATATATATAAAACTGGGAAGAAGTGGGAGGGTGTCCACTATTCTAGCACCTCAGCTTCTTGATGTCTACCTCACACCTGAAAAGGGCAAATTCTTGTTTTGGTATGTCACATTTTGGCTATGTGTCCCAATTTCCTGTAACAGAGAGAACCTAGAACCTGCTTCTCCAGCAGGGGACGCCCAAATCCTATGAGATCTGAGAGCTTGTTCCCCAAGAGCATAGTGTCCAATTCCATTTGGGAATTAAGTGGGTTTTGCCCTATTTGAGCAGGCCACTCCCTTCTGGACATAGTCCTTCTCTTTGAAGGTCTCAGTTCAGTAATGAGCAGTGGGCTCAGGCTCACATTGGACAGCTATGGGGTTTCAATAGAGAGCAGAAAGCCCACAAGTGCCCACTGCCCCAGCCCCCCCCCCCCCAAATTTTTATGAATTGTAGACTTTTCCCATCAGCCCTTCTAGTGTCAATCTAGGGATACAGAAGTAAATGGTTTAAATAGTAGAGTTTTATATAAGCTAAGAATTATCTGCTTGAAATTATTTTCTCTATATTTCATGATTTGGAAATTAATTCTGATTAATAAAATTTCCCTCTAAAAGTAAAAACAAACAAAAAAACCTGGAAGAGTTAGGGGCTTTTTTTTTTTTTTTTTTTTTACAATTTAATATGGATTAGTGTCATCTGAGTTTTCTTCCTCATACCTTGCTGAAAAGAATCTAATATGAATTAAATTAGGAAGGAGGACTCTCTGTGCATATATACATATGTGCATGTGGTGGGCACAGGAAGGCAATAATAGAAATTTAAAACATTGGGACATAGAATTTTGGGTAGAATGTCAAAGACAAGCTTTGTCCACATCAAAATTTGCTTGACATTCATCCTGCTCTTTCCAGTAATTCTTCAGTCCTGCCTTCCCACTTGTTCTCTGGGGAGAACAGGGTGGAAGGGAAGAGAAAGTTGAAATTGGTTACTTTAATCTTGATTAACTTGTCTATGGCAAAGATTGCCGACTCATATGGCTTAATTTAGAGTAAAGATTAGTCGATTTGTGTGGGAGTCTAGAACTCAGAAAAGCAAGGTCTTCACCAAATGCTTATATGTTCCAAACATTCTTAGCTCTCCAGCCTCACAGTCTGTTTCTTTATAGTGCAGGCATTGATGAGCTTTGAAGACAAGTAAAGCCTTCAATGGATGGCTTTGAAATCTTTGGGCCCAGCAGAAGATAATGAAGGGAATACTCGGAAATAGAGAATTCAAAATATAAATGTCTAATAAATACTGCTTTTGAGTTAACTAATTATGTTTCTGAGACATAGGGACACTGAAAGCATAAGGTCAGGCAAAAAAATTAGTTCAGATGCTCATGGTGCCTGTGCTTCTTGCCATTCCATTCTCTCTACAGCTCTTTTTTATTTTTTTTAACTTTATCATTTAATCTTGTAATCTTCTACCCTTCTTGCAACCTCTGCTTTCCCTAAGGCAGTCTATAAAGCACTCTGTGGGAAGAGATTCTCAGAGCTGTTGTTAGTACAGCAACAAAAAAGTGTTGTTTGTTTCCATTGTCTACTGACATTACTTCTCTTATGCACCATTAATGCTTTTTTTCTTTCTTTCTGATCTTAATTGGTTTTATTTTGATTCTAGAATTAGGCAGTAGTCTGGACCAAAAATTGTTCAGATGCTCCCCAGGCACCATTAATTTCAGTCAGACATTTTATACCCATTTCTGTGCTGAAAGATATATTTTTTTATTCCAATTTTTTTTTTACCATTGCTCAGAGCAGTATTCAAATCAACATGTTACACAGATTTTTAGTGTTTTGAAGGACCTCAGACTTAATCTATCTCACATCAATGCAGGAAAACCTTTGTGTGTATGTGTAGTGCTGTGGATGGGCCTCCTGTATGCTAGGCAAGTGCTCTACCACTGAATTACATCCCCACAGGAACATCTTTTAAAACCTCATTGAAAAGGTGATTATCTAGCCATTATTATTGTTAGTAGTTATTGGTGATTTACTACATAGAAGAGATCCCATTTCATTATTGGATGACTCAACTCAGTTGAAATGTTTATTATTAAAAATTCTATCACTTGAGTGACATGGATGAAGGTATAATATTATGAATATTTATAGTTTTTATAAAATATAGTATTATGAATATATGCTATAAATAATACTCTATATATGCAATATAGTTATATATTCCATAAGATAACCACATATGAAAGATATTTTTCTCTTATTTTTTGGAGATGATAAAATTGAGACTTAAAAAAATTAAGTAAGATAAAATACATGCCTCTAAAAAAAAAATAAGTAAGGCTGAGCTCAGTGATATATGCTCATAATACCAGAGGCTAAGGCAAGAGGATCCCCAAGTTCAAGGTCAGAAACTTTAGTAAGACCTTCTGTCAAAATAAAACACAAAAAAGACTATGTCAGAATTCAGAGGTAGAGCATTCCTGGGTTCAACCCCTAGTACTGCCAAAAAAAAAAAAAAAAAAAAAGTTGCCCAAGGGCACATACCAAATTAGAGACAGAGCTAAGAGTCTAAAGCAGGTTAAAAATTCTAAGTTAAGAAAGATTAAATTTAAACCATTTATACAATAAAATAGCTTACTCTATTGACTTTTCAATAAAGATTCACTGTTGTCACAGCTGTGGTTCTTTTCTCTGCAGTCCTCTCATGTCTGCTCTCTTCCACGTGTCCATGCTCTCTAGGCTGGCTTCACTCAGTTAGCCAGATGATTTTCTGAAACTTCTAGACCTATATGCCTATTTGCTCATAACCAGGGGTGGAGAGACCATGACTCCTTTCTCAATCATTGAACAAAACGAAACTGAGCTTTGGGTCAGAATAGTGGTTATTCTTGGAGTGAAGCCACTATCTAGGAGAAGGCATGAGGAACCTGGAGTATTGTGATGTTCTACAACTTGATCTGCATGGTGGTTACACAGGTAAATACACATATAAAAGTTCAATGCGCTGTACACTTAAGATTTGGGCAAGGGCTCACCTAGCACGTGCGAGGCCCTGGGTTTGATCCTTAGCACCACATAAAAATAATAAATAAATAAATAAACAAATAAATAAATAAATGAAGGTATTGTGTCCAACTACAACTAAAAAATAAATATTAAAACAAAATTAAAAAAAAAAAAGATTTGGGCAACCCACACACTCACACATCCTGAGCATCACTGATTGCATCAAGAAGTTAAGTCAGGGCTGGGGTTGTGGCTCAGTGGTAGAGGGTTAGGTCATAGGCTTACTCCTAAACCAATCATAGAGGTAAGGTGGATAGGATGACTAATTTAGGCTTTCTCCTGGAACGGGAGGTAAGGTCAGTCATACCTAACCTTAAGGGCTATAACTGCAATGGGGAAGGGATGAATGGGTGGTAGGAAGGCAACTCTTCTGGTCATCATTACTTAAGAGTATGTCTGGCAGAAAGGTCAAGATAGGGAAAGTGAAAATGAATGGAAATTTCCAGAATAGGTAAATCTAAGAAGACAGTAGATTAGTGGTTGCCTAGGGATTTGGGGAGGAAATGGGACTTATTGCTAATAGATATAGTGTTTATTTTTGAGGTGATGAAAATGTTCTGGAATTATATAACCACTGAGCCACATTCCCAGCCATATTTTGTATTTTATCTAGAGACACAGTCTCATTGAGTTGTTTAGCACCTCACTTTTCATGATCCTCCTATCTCAGCCTCCTGAGCTGCTGGGATTATAGGCATGTGCCACTGCGCCTGGCCAACAACATAATATATTTTTTAAAACATGGAATTATATACTTTAAAGTGGTAAATTTTATGTGAATTATCTCAATTTAAAATGAAGTACGTAAAGACTATCCAAAATTAAGAGCAATATTGCATTTCAAGAAAAGACATTTTAGTCATTCATAAAATGAAGAACAAAATATGTAACATTGTAGTAAAAATTCCATCATAAGAAATATGGCATATATATTTAGGAAGAATAATTGAAAATGCCATTTTTAGGCACAATTATATACCTAGAATTACTAGAATTAGGGGTAACAAAGGATTTCTATTTAGTACTAATAGAAGAGGGCTGGAAATAGAAACCTGGGAAATAGGAATATTTAAATGATAGGAGAAAGCAGCAGAGCTACCAAAGAAGCTAGAAAGAGAATAGCTAAAAAGACAGGGAAACCATTCTAGAGTAACATCTTTAGGGGCAAGACAAAACTTCAAGAGAAAAGTAATGGTCCAGTAAGATCTGAACTGAAGTATCCATGGAAGGTGGCAATCAGAAAACAATAAATATAATAAAGCAGAGTAAGGAAGCAGTATCTAATCTTATGTATGCTACCCACAAAGTAGTTGTTCTGTGAGGAGCTTTTCTCAGTGTGGCTGGTAGTTTGCGATAAGTGCAGAATTTCAGGTCCCATCCTCCATAGTAAAGATTCAAAAGCAGAGGCTGGAGGTATGATCCAGTGGTAGACCACTTGCCTGGTATGGGTGAGACCCTGAGATTCTCTCCAGCACCACAAAAAAAAAAAAAAAAAGAGAGAGAGATCAAAAGCATTTTATAGGTATCTGATGGACTTTCTCAAACGATTCCCTTCTGAGTTTTTATAACTGACTTTGAATGGTCTGTGCATGCTGTGCTGCCTCATTATTTAACTCTTTCCTCAAGGAAAATGGTCTAACATTAATTCTATCAGAAGTTTATTCAACAAATATTTGTTGAGTTCCTAAGTTCTAGATACTGCTATAGGCACTTGGGATACATCAGGGAACATACAAGACTAAAATCTGCCCATCCTAAGTAGTTCCTCTTAAAATCACCAAGTAATCTGTATCTCAGCTACCCTGGAGGTTGAAGAGGGAGGATCACGAGTTCCTATTTGTATTGGTGCTGCTATACCTTGTTCTTGTTTTTCTAATCTTTTTCCTTTCCTAAAACATTGTCTAGTCATAATAGTGGGTGCATTTTGGTTGATGTTATTTGTTAATGTCAAACCTAATTGATCTAGGACATCTCGTCCCCATAAATTTACGGGAAGATGATCCAATACATATGGCTGTATAGTTCCTTCACATCCTTCAGGATCCTTCCAATCTAATACCATTGCACTTCTATGGGGATTAGTTGCCACTCCTAGGCCTCGAAGCGTTTGAGTGGCAATCAGAAGACAATAAATGTAATAAAACAGAATAAGGAAGCAGTATCTAATCTTACATATGCTACCCACAAAGTAGATGTTCTGTGAGGAGCTTTGCTTAGTGTGGCTGGTAATGATACCACTGGTTATTGGTGAGGTTATTGGTGACGAGTCCTGCTTCCCCACATGTTGAAGTTTGAACATTAAAGAAGCACACCGAGGCAAGCAAATGAAACAGGGTTTATTTAAAAACAGGTAACATAGACTTCTCCCGCAAGGGAGAAGGGGGCCAAAGGTGGTATCTTGGTATCCGAGACCCCCAAAAGACCACCAGAGACCAAGAGCGATGTAAGCAGCAAAAAGGTGTTTATTGTGAGCTAGCTTGGTCCTTTGCATGCACACAGCAACTGGTGATGCTGAGAGGCCCCGAGCCCAGGGTTTGCAGCAGTTTTATACACTCTTTGGGGAAGGCAGGGACTTCACATACATCATAGCATCTCTTTAGCAAATCATCACACAGTGTGTGTGTGGGGGGGGAATCGCCATCTTCCTACCGCAGCCTCCAAACAACTCTAAAACATGATTAGCATATTCACTGGCAGGAACAAATTGGGTAAGGGTGATTGGTTACTATAAGAGGGGGATTCGTTTGAACTGATTGGTTTAAGCCACGAGGGGTGTACATGCTGAACTACATGGTTTCCCAACATGTTATCAACCACCATAAACTACTGGGAGGGTCATCTGTGCCTAAGAGTGCTCTGTGGGTTTTTCCAAGGACAAGGGCCATGCCCTCTTCCTTCGACAGGCTTTGCTCTGAGGTAGAGGCTAGTTTCTCAATTGCACTGTCTTTCCCATCCCCACACCTCTTCCCTTCCCCTCATTCTTTTCTGCATAATCCAAAGTTCCTTCATTCTTCCCCACCTACCCTCCCGCCCCCCCTTATGGATTAGTGTCGCTTATCAGAGAAAACATTTGGCCTTTGGTTTTGGCTTATTTTGCTTAGCATGATATTCTCCAGCTCCATCCAT